TATTTTAATTTGGAACTTTTAACTCTCAGTTGCTACATGCAACAGCTCTTTTTAATACTGAGAAGAAGATCTAAGATAGCCTTACTGAAGACATCATCTAGGTTTGTCAGTTTAAGACCTATAGCTGCACTTTCTCAAAAAGAATCCTAAAATACATTTTATGGATGTTGTTTTTCCATGTACATCTTTTGAGTGCGTTATTATTATTTATTAATTATTTACTATGCTTTAATATGTGACTTTCTGAAAGGTTTTTTCCCCACTGTCACTAAAGGCAAATATTTAAATTTACTTTCCTTGAATTATTTTGAAGATGTATCTCAAATTCAGCAAAGCAGTGCAAATAATAGGTAAAACCGTACATGAAAAAGACATACGTTCATTTTGCAGGATAACGTATGTTACATAATACTGGATTCCATCAAAGAGGAGTCTGTAGAATGAAAAAAAATCACATTTGCTAAAATGAAAAACTTCTAGATTTGATAAGTAACATTACTAATTTACATAGGTTAGAGTAACATAGTTGTCAATTTGATTTATTTGTGCATAACATAGAGAATGGGAGCTATTTTGCTGCCATTCACAGTAAATAACATAATTTTGTGTTTGAATAACTGATGATACATATTATTGTGTAAAAGTTTGCATTTTCAAAGATGCTCTGTAAAATTGTCCATATGTTTTGTATAAACTCAGTTTACATGACTGAAAATGTGTATGAATGTAGGCAGAGCACTAATGAATATAGGAGCCTGGCTATGTGCTCTAATAACTTTAGGCAGTGTGTTTCTGTCAGATTAACAACAATAAACGTGGAAATTCTGGAAGATTTTGGCTCAGAATAACACAAATTCCTGTAATACGTATTTATTCTATGGAACACAGGAACAATAAGGAAATTGGGTTTATCTGAGGTTATTGATGTTTGCTACTGACATCAAAGGGAACAGGATGAAGCTTAGGATTTCCCAAGCAAGATGAGGTTCACTACTTATGTCCTATAGTCCTGAAGAGCAAGGCAGTCTCTAGGAAGAGCTTCCAAAGATACTGAAGACCTGGGAAAGGAGTGGGAGAGGTGAGGACTAGGCATGTGCTCTACCTCCCTCTGCCCTCAACAGGATTTAGACCCTAAAATATGCAGGCGTGAACACCATGCTCTGTCCATTTCCTCCGGAGGATCTGGTTGCATCCAGACAGTGTCATCCTCCTCCTTGCCGCTTCATTTCAGAGAACAAATAAATTCCAAAGAGAGTTACCAGTCAGTTGCTGGATAAGGTTTAAGTGAAACCAATGGGCAGACAGACACTGATGTCATCAGGCAGCTTTCTACGGCTTTTAAAGACTTTTGTCGTTGTTTTGCCAAAATATTTTCCTTTCACCTTGGCAAAATTATCATATAAAGACCACAAATACTAGTGCATGGATAATTAAATAACAATAAAATAGTATAATGAAATTATATGTACAGAGGGGAGATATGATGACAACAGATTTAAAGTTGTGACGGACATTCTGTGCAGGTATGCATGGTTCTTGTACTGTTGATTGAGAGTGTGCCTGTGTGGTGAAGATTAGCTGAATTAACTTCTGATGTCCTTACTTTTGTGTTCATATGTGTGTAGCAGCAGCCACTTCACGATTATTTTTTTGCATATACCAAAAAGCATAGCAAAAAAATCAATCAACTAACCATCTTTTTCTTTAGTGTGTCATTTTCATATCTCTTTTGAAACGCTACTCTTCATGTATAATTATCTTCAGCTCATAAAAAAGAAAAAAATGTTAATTTTCTTACTAAGTAAAGAGTATTTCCAATTAATATTTCACATCAGTTCGAAAGTTCAATATTCTTTGTCCACAGTGAGAGCAAACTGTAGTGAGAAGGTCTATCTGCTTTCGGCAATAGTGTAAGTAGCATAACAGACTTCATTTACTTTGTGCCTCACTTTGGCAAGTAGTAATGGAATAAACTAATTGATGATCATGTTCTAATTCAGCATTCTAATTTATCATTAACTAAAAACTGGTTTTTTGCCCAAAATGTAGGTTCAATTACTTTCTTAAAATTCATTAAATGATAGAAAGATTTTCCTAATTTACTGATGTACATAGGAAAATAAATTCCTAACTTACTGATGCATGTAAAATTAAGAAGTTTGATTATTGACTGCGTCAAACAATTAGGAGAAACATGTTTTTGAGAATATTCAATATTAACAGTAATCTAAAGAGCTGCTAATCTGTCAACAAACTTTCTTTTCGGGAGGTTGAATGGTAATTTGTTTTTTTCCAGGTTCTCCTCAGTGTTGCCTTCACAGTAACTATTGGAGTGTTTCAATATGCAGATAAATCAATATATTTGATAATTCCTTTTATATTGGATGTGTTTATGGTGCCAGAGAAGGGCTCTTTAGACTTTCTCTCTTTCTTCACTTTTTCTTGAAGTTAGATGCTTTTTATGGAGCTAATACACCACTAGACTTTTGCCCTGCTGTATTCTGATTACAAGAGGAGAGCTTTAGATGAACTAATCACCTGGCTGGGGGCTTTAGGGTGTCAGAATTTCTATTTACAGACTGTCCAATTTGAATTTGATTGTCAGTTATTAAAGCATAAATATCCAGTGTATATACTGAACCTGCATTCATTTTGTAGGAAGTAATGTTGCAATATTGTAGCAATGCAAGACCTCCTAGGAGGCGATTTCTGCACTGGCCCAAGGGTAAAAAGGCCTGCCGCCAAGTCCTACTCACGTCTCCTGTATTCTTTAGTTTGATAACCAAGTTCTGATTTTGAGCATGTCTTTCTGTACCCTTTGGGAGCTGACAGTGATTAGTCTGTCCATCCTGTCTCATCTCTCTGAGTCATCAGGATTTACTCACTCCCCTTTGCCCTTTGTCTCCCAACCTGAGTGCCCTGAGGAGCTTCACAGAGGTGCACTTATATACTCATTAATAAAGTTTCAGTTTTTTAAAAAAAATTCTGTATAATTTCAGTTGAAAAATATTTCCTACGACCAGAATCAGGAAGTACAACAAAGCATTACAGAGTGCTTGAATTAAAGGAGAAAATCAGGGGAGAAAAGAATTAGGTTTGATTGGGTTTTTTGGGGTGTGGTTTGTTTTTTTTTTTAAGGCCTAATGCGTCATAAATAATATATGAACTCATGGTTCCCTTGCATTTGAAAAAACAACCAACAGGCAAATCCTAACAACTGTGAACCAAAGCAAGCAAGCAAGAAAACCCAAGTAGATTAATATTCTGGTCCTTTATGTATATGACTTTCTATACCACTTTCAATTTTCTGCTTCATTCTCCTATAAGCTGGTACAAATGAAAGGAAGAAAGTAGAATCCAATAAATAAGAGAATAACTAACAAAGTGTTATGCAAAGTACGGAAGAGGTTCTAGAATATTGATAGATAAGGACTTTTTTCCTTCCAATAGATAAGGACAGCCTGTCTTTGCCGTATAAATAACATAGCTGGAAGAGCTATCATTTCAAGGACTCAAGTTTTACCTCTTCATGAAGTTAAAATAATTTCTTTTAATTGGAAAGATTAGAAGGACTTTCATAGCTGGAAGCTGCCTTCTGTGGAAAAGAACTTCTGAGCAGATTAGAAAAAAAATTATTTTTTGCTTCTTTGCACCTAAGGAAACATTTCAGTCCTGTTCTTCCAAGAAATTAAATTGCAGAGAGAGGTGAGATACCCAGCACTATGTCGAATTACCCTCATTGCAGAACATAATGTATCACACAAATAATTCTGTATGCATGCAGTATTACTCATGGGAAAACAACTGCTTACATTTATGAGCTAATTAATCATTCAAACACACATGATGAAAAAGAGACCAGTCTGCAACACCAGTAGTAAAGAATTCTTAAAAAGCATGGGCTAAGCATAACATGTCATTTTATTGATGTAGATCATAAAAAAATGTCAGTATGAAAAACTCTTTTTACCTATTAGCTTCAGATTATTTTCTTTAAACTGCAGCACTTGATTCTAAGGTATGTGAAGGGAAAATATGGCTTGCCAATGACTCTTTAATACTATATTAGAAGCTAAAGAAAACAGACTGTAATTCAGGACTCATAATCTTGTGTCCTGGAAGTTGTAATACTAATGATTGAAAACTGTGTTACAGAATAAATACATTGCTTCTGAAAAGGATACAGTCAGCTCCAAACATAGTCAGTTAGTAAAAAACCTGCTGGTACTCAATATGCATCTGGTATCCAGTGTCCAGGGTTTGAGGGCGGGTTTTGGCATTTGTTTTTTTTTTTTTTTTTTTTTTTTATTTTTGGTCACATTTTTTTTTTTGTAGATTAGCAGTCACATTTTTCTACTTTGAAACAAATATCTCCTTTACTGTTTTGTGAACAGTCCATAGTAGATCATGGCACTGGTTACATGAGGCATACAATTAAGCTGCCTGTAAAATAAGTGCTATAAAATACAGAAAGATAACTCAAAAAAGGAACATTATGTATTTTAAAATACAGTAGGTTAAAATGGGAGCTAAAATACCAGGCCAAGTAAAAAGAAGAAGTCTACCGTCCCTTTAAAGGATATGATTAGTTCTCACTAATCTTACATTTGTATGAATCTAGACTAACTGACCTAAAGTCAATGAATATATACATGTGAAAAAAGTAGTACAATATCAGATTATAACCTCAGTGTAATTACCAGAGTAATACTGGGAGAACAGTTCTAATTGAAATGACAGAACAGTTATTAGTCTTTGGGACTGCCCTACATAAAGTTCTTGACTGTTATAAAGATGAATGTGCAAAATTATTTTTATAAATAAGTTATATTGATGTGAACATGACATTTGATATTTTAAGTTCTTCTCAAGATAATTTGTCTCTTAAAGTTTAATCACATTTTTTGCAGTGATCTTTAGATTATTTTTACGTCACATTTCTGACATTTCTGTACTTACCAAGCCAAAAAATTAACTTTACAATTCTGCTTTGTTTGCAGCATCTGGCGAGGACCAAATATAAACTGCACAGACAGTTCAGGTTATACTGCATTACATCATGCAGCTTTAAATGGACACAAGTAAGTGCCTCACGTTTAGTTTTTATTTAGAATGTCATTTAACTGCTTAACTTAAAAACATGTAGCATAGCACTGAGATTTTCATAGTAAGTTGAAAAACTCTGACTTAAGAAAATAATCTTATTTCCCACGGGATACATTAATTTAAGAATTTTTGACACTGTCATTGATATCAGCATGTAGTAATGACCAATGGGAAATGCAGTTTAGAAGCTATTGATTCTATACTGGTATTTCCAGTTTCTTCCTCGATTTTGAGTAGATTTTATTGTTGTTACTGCCAGTGGTGGCTCTAGTGCTTTCTAGCTGGAGGGAAATTGCGACAGAAAATTTTGTAGTATACTTGTGTGAATATGTCCACACGTATAGTGTGTTGAATGTTTAAGGAAGCAAAATTGTGAAACAAAAGAACAGTATAGATTAATCATTATGTAAGTAAAAGTAGCATGATAAGAACATTTAGTAGTTATACACTTGAAAGCAGAAAAAAATGGCTATTACCTTGTATGGGATCTCATAGCTTTTCCCTCCCTGCTGTCCGTCCAAGTTACCACATGCATGTCTCAACAAGCTTGGGGAAAGCAGGCAAAATCCCCGGTGAGGGGGACTGCACAGGCATACCAGTACAGGTGAACTCTTTAAGGCATTAATGTGTCAGTAAAAAACAGTGGAAACTTGGTATAGATTTTGTTATTACACCTTGTAATTTGTTTTGTGTTACCACTGTTGTTACATGTTGCCCCTTGCTACCTCCATTGTATTGTGCTGCCAACTGCGGGTTGTTAGTAAGGCAGAATACAACAGGAAGGTTTTAATGAGGTCTATAAAGTTCTAGTGGGATGGACTCCCCTCTAACCACCGTAGGAGCTGCCCCACTTAATGCAGTGCAGCTATCCTGTTTGTAAACTGATGATGTTAACATTATCTGCATTTTCACTGAAGAAAATTTAGACCTAAAGCTTTAGGTTATTCCTCTGTGGGAGAAAAGGAACTGATCAAAACCTGATGGAAGTGAAGAGTGACTTTAATGGGATTTTGGACTGTCCAGAACATATGAATCCGTAACAACTATATGCTTAGTTTACTCATTTTGCAATTTTTGCATTCTTCCTTCTAATAATTAAAACTTCAGGTTGTGTCTTTAATTGTATTCTAGTAACCTGCATATTTTCTTTAGACCACATTAATCTTTTGGTGAGTATAGGATATTCTGTTTCTGAATAACTAACTGCAGTTAAAATACTGTTAACTAGATATTGTGCATTTTCCAAAATTCCAGGTCTGTAGCGATATTCTGAATGTTCCATTAATATATTTTACCTCCATGTAATTAGGTCTAAATCCTTAACACAGTCTATTAAAGTCAGTCTCTTTAAAAAGGGAGAGAATCACATTTCTCTTGTTCCTGGTTTATGGATTGGTTCTTGTGCCATTGCATGTTTTCGATTGACAAAAGCCCAAGCCTTAACTTGCAAAGCCTGCTGACTTTAAATAGATGAAAATTGGTTTTAGTGTGTTTTTAATACTGACTATAAACCAATAGTTACCCAGCAAAGTGAAAATATTGCTATATAAAGACTGAATCTATCAGAGATTTCAGGTGAATCCTAGCAATATAGACTATAAAATCCCCAAACAGACAAAAGCCAAATAGTGTTTTCAGACACAGTGCAGGCCAAACTTCTGCTGAAGTCAGAGAGAGCTTCAAGATGTGAACTTATGTACAGCAGCAGATATAACTACAGCTTTTGAAAAGATCATAATGGCCACTAGCTCCTATGACCCCTTACCCTCACAGCAGGGTAAATGGCAGTTACTGACACCCTATTTCTATCTTGTTGTATTAAACTGAAATACATCGTGAGGTATTTTATGGTATATCAAGGTAGTTCAGGACCTGCTATCCAAGCCATCATACAGTGCTACAATGGTAGCACTGTCAGCAAGAATTGGACAGACACCTGGTGGCTGTAATTTCATTAGTCACCACAAATAAAAAATAAATAGCTTTACACTGTTTCAGAGTTGAAACTTGATATTCAAAATCAATATTGGATATAATCTTTTGACACAAGAGCCTTCCCACTTAGGATAAGTTCTTGCCCTTTGAAAACTTTTGGGGTTTGAATTTTTCACACTTTACATTAGGATGAACTTGAGAGATTTTGAAATTTTTCTGGAAGAGTGAGAACATAAGACTTAATGACACAATCAGTGATTCGTGGCTGGGACACTTGTTGGACACCAGTGTTCAAGTCCCTGCTTGATCCTTGTAGGTGATGAATTCCCTCCTCCTTGGTTATTCTGGGATAGTTCTCTCTCCTTTTGAAACTGTTCTGCTTTATATAAGTAATTAAATCATATCTGGGGCAGGGACTTTAATCTCAGTCTCCCTAAGTAATTTTACATAGCCCAGTAATGTTACTGGGCTAAGGACTCTCAGTCTTCTCCTCTCTGAAATTTATTTCTACAAAATAAAAAAATTCTGACAGAGAGCTAAGAAAGACTCACCCTAGAGAAGTATGATGGGTCAGGGCATTCTTGAAGGATGAAGGAGACGTAGATTCTATTTTGTAGCTTGAATGTTGCAACACATTCTTCCCAATAGTTGCTGTATATTGTCTATAGATTTCAGTTGTGGAGGGGCTTTTGCTGTTTTTCCCCCACTTAGTTCAATTTCTGTTTCCTTTGATTTGTGTCCCTTTCAAACTCCTCTGTATCTCTAGTCTTCATAAGACTCTCTACTGCAGGACCAACTATTATGACATGAGAAGTCTTTCAAACCTTACTTGTGTTAAAAAGTTTCTCTCGGGAGTCACTTTTCTGTAACTTTCTCCGTGGCAAGTCTTCCTCTAGTGGAGCTGCACTTTCTTGGTTGTTTTCATGTTATTTGACCTTGCCAGGAGTAAGCAAAATCCAGCTTAAAGTCTCTCTCAAAGCTAAGATGGGATGACGCCAGTATCTCTATGATTTCTTCTAAAGACAATTGAGAGTTTCTTCTGGCCTAGATACATTGAGTCTTACTTGCCACATTTTTCTCTCAATAGGCAATTAAATAAGGTTCCATCAAGGCTGGGAGAATGATTGCCTTGGGATATACCTTCAGTCTTAATTTGTAGTTAAGAGCTTCATTTTTAGTCATGACATAGGCTGCATTGAGCTCCCTCCCCCTGCTAATTTTTTGAGCCAAATCAGTAAGAGCCAGTGTTTCCATAGTCAGCAAAAGTGTGCGTAGAGCTGCCCACACTGGGTCATAGATGCTATAAACTTAATAACTAATGAGGCCTGGCAGTGTAAAACTATGAGAAGACAAAAGGAGAGAGAAGACAGGATTTATTTACTTTCTGACGTACTTGATAACCAATGATCATACCACACAATTGATTTTTAAGTTTAACTTTTGAAGTTAAGTACAGGAGACTGCTTAAATATCAGGGATGCAATAAACCAGCTTATACTAATGTTTCGTTTAATGTATGATAAGCCACACTGTAAGTACTGAAGGGAGTATAATAAGAATTAATATAATACAAGTTACTTTTTTCCTTACCGGCCTCAGGAAGCTGAATGTGGAAAATGAAAATAGAAGCAGTTATTCCATAGAAGATAGTATATATGTAACTAGAACATCGTTAATGTGTTTCATCCATCTTTGAGATAATGCCTTGAAAAAGCAGAAAAACTGTTACTTTTAAGCCTTACTGCAAAACCCTGTCCATAAAGCCACCCATTTGTCTTCCTGCCTCCAGAACTCGGCAATGATGGGGACAGGAGTACCTCTCTGCCTTTAGTGCCTGGAAGGTTTCTTTTGAGGGATGTGCATGTGGCCTGGACTGGCAAATTCTAAAAATGATTCTGTGGCCAGGTGATTCTGTTAAAAGAAACAGATTCAGAGAACTGATCATAATATTGTTGATGGGTATTCATAAGAAGTAAGGATCACTACAATTAGTAACAATTTGTCTATGTTTTACTGTGTATGTCATTCGTAGAAATGATTGGTCTTCATTTTTGCAGCTGTTTCGCTTGAAATACATTTTTTTTTCTGATATTCAGCGTAAAAATTTTGGTAATACATATGTTTATGTAAAAACTTAAGACAATAAGTTTCCTGTCAATTTTTAGATTTACTTCCTGTTTTCCAGGGATATAGTTCTCAAATTACTTCAGTATGAAGCATCAACTAATGTGGCAGATAATAAAGGTTACTTTCCTATTCACTTGGCTGCTTGGAGAGGAGATGTAGACATTGTGAAGATTCTCATTCATCATGGACCATCACACTCCAGAGTGAATGAACAGGTGAAGTGATAAAAAACATTTGTGTACATCATCAGAAAAGAGCAGCACGTATTCTTTAGGTCTGGCAAATTTATAGCCAGTTTTTTTTTTTAAATCTATTTTCCATTGTTTCAGAAATTTCTTCTCCAAGCTTTATAAAATCTTCCAATGTAAGCATACCAGATATCTTTCTTCTGGACAGACACTGACCTAAAGGATGTTAGATTTAAAAAGGATGAAAAAACCTTCTCCTTGTTTCTGAAAAATTGTATGAAGACATACTCTAACTATTCATCTTTTATATATTGATGTAAATTTGCGTAAACTCTGTATCTTTTTTAGTTTATTAGATATTAAATTCCTGAAAAACTTCAAGGTAAAATTAATATTCTTGTTATATTTTTCATGTACTGTAAATGAACTGATATGCAGAGACAAATGACAAACCAGATGGACTGCATGTATGCATGTGCAGTAGAAAGGACACATAACTACTAGGAAAAAATTGTGAGAGTGTTACAGTGGGTAAGGGCAGGATAAGTATGTTGCATTCTGTTGTCAAACATATGGCCCACATTCTGTTTTCATTCTGTGTATTCTTATATGGTCTGTTTGTAGGGTTGGTATTTAGAAATAGAAAGAAGGCGATTAAAATCTGACACCCATCTTTAGTCAGCTGAACTGCTCGAGGACTGGAAGTAGGCTGTGAAATATGAGTAGTAACCATAAGCTATTGAATTTACCAGGGTAATCAGGAAGTTACTGTAATGTAAAAGTGGGCATCAGCTTCAGATTCAGATCCAAATTTTAGCGTCTGTGTTGCCATGCACCGTTTTATTCCACAGAGGTCTAGTCAGTGTCATCACAGGAGTCAATAGGATTATTCAGGTGACCAAAAGTAAGTCAGGATTCCTTTGTCCAAACACAGAAATACAGTACCTTCTAAAGTCCTGCAGTAACTGAGACATCTGCGTGGGCCTGAAGGTATGACAGAGGATGCTCAGAGTTTCCATGTCCTTGTGGTGTGGCTGATGGACTCCAGGTAGGGTACCCCTACAGCACCTCAAATGGCAAAGCACAATCTAACAAATGAATTTCACTCTCAGTGTCTACGTTAGTGTGGCCAGAAGGCAAACTGTGAGAAAATAAGATACGTTAGACCTAAATTGCAAACACTTAACCAATGTGAGACACCATTCCTTGAATAATCTATTTGATATTTGAGGTTATACACTTAGCCATTGGAATCAATTCAATAACTATGATATAAATATCAAGTATTAGTGCAGGAAATGTGTGAAAATAAAGTAATAAAATATGCCCATGTGACAGTCTTCTGGGAAATCATATAATACCCTGGCTCATCCAAGAAAAAACACAAAAAACCCCCAAAAGTTGTCATTCTGTGGTTTGAGTTGCAAATTAGGAGTTTCTCTGAGTTTCTCATTCTCGTCAGCTGTTACGTGTAGGATAAAACCGGTTGAACTGTAGGATTACCATTTGTCAAGGAGAAGTTTTTTTGGTTTTATTTCTGCAATAAAATAAAAAAGCAACTTTCTGATTACATGTTATCAGTTTGCTTGAAGAGATTCCTAATACTCTAGTGACAGAAAACTGGAAGCTATGCAGGAACTTCAGAGAGAGGTATAGTGAAAAAGGTATTTCAGTAAGATCAGAAAGAGAAATGTAAATTCAAACCTACATCTTCCCACTCCCACATATACATCCAAACTTCTAGAATATTCTTGAGCTTGATTAGGTGTGTTGTCCAGTCTCCGTGGTTTGATTGCTGGAGCACATAAGCAGGGATACATCTGATTCTATACCCCACTGACTTGAAGAAGGTCTCATCGTCAGGTCTCCTGCTGTTTATGTATTTTCGCCAAAAACTTCATAAAGGATCATGTGTGAGCAATCCTCATAAGAAATATTGGACCTTAAGTCTCTTAAGGGAATCTTGATCACATTAAACTTTGAAGTTAAATCACGTGTGCATGGTTCTTCTGACCTTGTAAATCCCCTAGTGTTCCACTCTGGACAATGGCTAGCTTTAGTACATGGACCACTTTGCTGGCACTGACTTTCCCCTGCTAATTAGCATGCTACACAATAGAATATTATCCATGTCATTTGAATGAGAGAAATGCCATATTGATATAAAACCATCTCCACCCACATATCCTCAGATAGCACCAGAGTGGCATCCTCATCCGCATACCTATTGTACGTTCTTATGAGTCTGTAGGTTTCTGAGGCTTTTGCTTATTTGCTGATAGGCTCTATATAAGATGGCTCCTCATAGCTCTCATAGCTTCTCAGATCTGCAGAGCTGAAGCTACAGCTTGTAAGAAATTCTGGGCTATTTGTCTTTTCTTCTGAGAGTTGGGGAGAAGGACAGTCATTTTTCCTGACACTTTTTCATCACAGCAAATAATATATTTAAGTCAGACTTTTTTTCCCTGTTTTTTTTTTCTGTAAGAATCACGTTAAGGATGTATGTGCTTTCAGTTTAAGAAAATAATTCTGTTCATTATTTAAATATTGTTGGAACTGATTTGTAATACATCTTTGCTTTTCATCTGTTTTATTAGAATTCTATGTAAAAGAAATGCTTCTAAAACCTTACATAAAAGTAATGAATACAACAAAGAAGTAAATGAGAAGCTCATGACGCACAAATGTATATACATGAATTAATGGATTTAATGTGGTATACTGTAAATTAATTGAACTGCATTCTACACATTTAAAATGCAGTTAACTAGTATCATAGGATCATATTCAGCCATATCCAGCATCTAAAGCTCTGAATGCCCCCTACTGTTCCTATTACATAAAAAAACAGTGAAGAGGTGAACACTTAAATGACAATTATTTTATGGGTGTGGTGGATTGTAGACTGGCGACTCTACACATAGAAAATGGTAACAGCATAATAATTATGTAAGAATAATTCTACCACTGTTTAATACAGAAGTCTTAGTTGACATGCATGATGTATGTTTTAAATTACAAAATATAGTGAAATTACAAAACATGTAAGTGTTTAAATTTCATTGATGAAGACTTGAAAGTATGTAAATTATAAATTGAATGAAGATCAAATAGGTAGTATGAGATCAAGATTTGTTAGGAAATGAATGCCAAATATAATAAAAAGGTATGCTGTTAACATTGAAACTACTTACATATTTGTTTATGTAAAGACATCTGGGTAGCACAAACATTTATTATGGCAACTCTCATGATAAAATTACGTAATCGATGAGAAATCCTGATCTATGAAAAAATAAATTATAACAGCCACATATAGGTCAATATGTAGTGTTAGGTATTAGTGCAGGAAATCACATGCAAAAAAGGTAAATGACATCAGGAACAAATATCAAGTTCAAAATATATTTTTAATATATGTATACAGAATATGAAGAGTGAAAAATTTACAGGAAAAAATGTGAACACTTATGAAATTTCTTGGTGATGTTCTCTGTTTTGTGATTCTGCCTGTTTTTTTTTATGCACATAGCACATGTTTTTCCTTACATTTATGTATTTAATGTACTGCAGAATTTGTCTGTGCATCAAATTATACTTGTCATAAAAAACACTCACATTTCCTTAATGGTGTTTGACACTTCTTCTGAAATGAGAAGGAAAAGAGTTCAGGATGCTTAATAATTTGTAAATGCCGGACATCTAACGTATTTACTGACTTCCCCACATCACCAAAATCAAGTACAAACATTATATCCTTCTCTCAGTGACACCTCAGGGACTTCCAGAAGCACAATTCAGTTCCAAAGTAGCCTGCAAAAACAATAATTTTCATGTTCTGCATTCGATGTTTCCCCCCCTCCCCTTAAATTAGAGACTATATGTGTCTTATACTCTTTTTAGAAGAGAAAAATGTGCAGAAGCAGTCTTTTTGATTTGAGCCTATTGCAGCGATAAATTTGAGGAAAGCATGTATTCAAAGTAGTCAGCCAAATTACAGAATTACTTTTTTATTTTGTTTCCATATAAGTAAAGTTGAATTTCAGTGGGAAGTCAGTAGATTTGATTTTGATTCACACTGCGTAATTTGCAGCAGAATTTTTCCCAGTAACTTTTACAAAAATCATCTTTTTGAAAAAAATGTTACTATATAAATCCAAGTATTCTTCACATTGTTGGACAATGACATCTTTCTTTGTCATCATATTGTTCTTATATGGTAAAGATTAATTAGAAAATGTTCATAGAGTCATAGAATGGTTTGGGTCAGAAGGGACCTTCAAAGATCATGTAGTCCAATCCCCCTGCCATGGGCGGGGATAACTCTCACTAGATCAGGTTGCTCAAAGTCCTGTCCAACCTGACCTTGAACACTTCCAGTGAAGGGGCATCCACAACTTCTCTGGGCAACCTGGTCTAGAGTCTCACCACCTGCATAAGAAAAAACGTCTGCTTTATATCCAGCCTAAATCTGCCCTCTTTCGGTTTAAAACCATTGCCCCTTGTCCTGTCACTACAGGCCCTGGTAAAAAAATCTCTCTCCATCTTTCTTACAAGCCCCCTTTATATATTGGAAGGCCGCAATAAGGTCTCCCTGGAGCCTCCTCCAGGCTGAACAGTCTCAACTCTCTCAGCCTTTCCTCACAGGAGAGGTGCTCCAGCCCTTGGATGATTTTTGTGGCCCTTCTCCAACAGGTCCATGTCTTGCTTGTGCTGCAGTGCTCCAGGTGGGGTCTCAGGAGAGCAGAGTAGCGGAAGAGAATCCCCTCCCTCAGCTTGCTGGCCATGATTCTTTTTATGCAGCCCGGGACAGGACTGGCTTCCTGGGCTGCAAGCACACGTTGCCAGCTCATGCCCAATTTTTCATCCACCAGTATCCCCAAGTCCTTCTCCGCAGGGCTGCTCCTAATCATTGCATTACCAAGTCTCTACTGATATTGGGGATTGCCCTGACCCAGGTGCAGGACCTTGCACCTGGCCTTGTCGAACTTCATTATGTTTACCGGGGCCCATTTCTGAAGCCTGTCAGGGTCCTTCTGGATGGCATCCCTTCCCTCTAGCATGTCAACTGCACCACTCAGCTTGCTGTCCTTGGCAGACTTGCTGAGGGTGCGCTCAGTCCCACTAGCTATGTTATTGATGAAGAGATCATTCCTTTCTCTGTCTTGGATATATTGTTTCTTTATTTTTTTCTCTATTTAATTCTTTAATCAATAAAGCCTTATTTTTGTATCCTTTTTTTTTTTCTCTAGTTGTCTATTCTTGAGTATATTGAGTATATAAGAAGACTTAGTCAAACTCTCCCATTTCTCCATCCTTCTTTAACTTAAATTCTTCTTTCATACATGAGGCAATAGCACAAAGCTTCTCATAAAAATAAGTCTTATTCAGTTACTTGGCATTGGCATTATGTGACAAAGAAATGGCTCAGTGCTTTAGAAAGTTTCGCTTTTCAAGTTCATTGTCAAAATGCTTATATAGTAAAGGAGTTGGGCATTCTTTGGAGAAGTCTGTAAAATCACTACTTGAGGGTCATTATTGCTTGTGCAGTTCTTGCAAGGACTTTAGGAATTTTAACATGTGCTTTACAAAAATAAAGGACTACGTAACTATGCAGTACAAGTCCTAAATATTCCCACTGCTTAATAGTGGCTTCACAAGGACCTATATAATATTCATGAGACCCATTCATTCTCTTGATATCTCCTGTACCTCTTCACTATCACACTGCCAAGCTACAACAATAGTCTCTATAACATATTTGGTAATCTGTCCTCTAATGAATAGACCTTAAGATATTGTCTACATTTTGCAGTGACATGTGTTCTTGGTAGCTGAGTGATGCCGTACACCCTGCAGTACCAACGAGATGCAATGCTGTGAAGGCACAATTCAGTTTGCAGCAACAGAAGTCTGAGTTCTGGCTGTATGTGGAGGAGAACAGATTTGGAGAAAGGCTACAAAATGTCATCAGCATGCCCATGAAGAGACCCATGTAACAAATATTGAAGAAGAAAATTACAAAAGGTTACAAGCTGAATTAGAAGATGCCTTCCTTATTTCGGAATGGTCCATTGGGCCATATGAATAACTTGGTTATTCGTGTTACCAGTATGAATACTTGGTTAAAATATTATAAATTATGAATACTGGAGACTTCTGTTTTATACTATTTTTGCATAATATTGGTCTAGTCTTCTCATTTTGTCTTAACATTGTGTATTTCTTGGTTCTGATTTTGAGATCATTCTTTTTCTTGACTTATTCAGTCTTAGGATCTATCTTGTACTTTCTAACATTTAATGAAGTATCTGAAATTTCAGAAAGCATTCTAGTCTTTTTCTTCAGCACTAGATACATTATTTAGCCCTTGGATATCAGATTTGGAGATCTAATTACACAATGGTAACTTGCATGCAGACATTTGTGTGTTCATAGCAGGTTGACTACTCACTGCTATGAATGTTAGCACATAAACTTTCTGTATTCCAGAAGCAACTGTGTACATTTGGGACTGAATATGTGAGCAGTAGTACTAAATAATTATTAATTTCTTCAAGAATTTTTTTTCATGTCATTCAAATATTTCTTCAAAATAATAAGCTATTTTAGAGATATGAGGACAAACAGTACCTTAGAATCAATAGCTACACCTGGGTTAGCTTTGTCCACACAGAAGACAAATCAGAAGTAACAGCATTTTTGGGAGCAAGGAAATCATGTAACTTCAACTCTTAAAATACCATCATATGTTGGTAGTTTTTTTATTCTTACTGTATGTCTTCTATAAAGAAATGACTTAAGGAGGAAGTTCATAACACTGACTGAGACATCCATGTCCATCTTTCCATGAGGGGTGAGAAGGGGAAGATAATATTTCTTCCAGTCCGGGAAATACACTGTTATAGCCTCCTCGATCTTAGGCGTGTCTCTGGGAGTGCTGAACCAACTGTGCCTATCTGATAGGCATTCCCTCTTTTCCTGATTTTGAAGATGGCAGACGTTGTCAAAGCCTACATAAAAACTCTGTCCTCTCTCCTCAGTAAAACCTCTTGCTTCCAAGGTAATTTATTTTATGTAAGTAGTACTAAATTGTCAAAGCGGATGAATTTAGAGGACAGTTAAACAAGTTGTAATTCTGTCTTTGAAAGTTAAAAATCATTCTGTCTTTCATACCTGACTTGAGTTGGTTAATTTACATTTTAAAGAGGGAAGGATGTTGTGTTATTAAGTTTTAATTAGGTAGTGCCACTCAGGTCTGATAACACAATATATACAATGCCTGTTCTAACTGCATATGTGTAGGTAATTTAATTGTCATATTTGCCCAGGTTGGATTCTTCTGTTTCCAGTGATACATCATTCTTTTTAAGTTTGAATCAGTTTGATTTCTCATTAACTGAAATGTAGCTTTAATTTGGCAAATGCAAAGAAACAAACCATACAAAAGTGTTCAAAAATGCTAATTTGAAAATAATAACATTTTGTTTGGGTTTACAGAAGCTTTTATACATCATGCTGTTTTAAAATATGCTTCTCTGTAAATACGCGCTTGCATGAAAATTCAGCTGGATGTTCTTTATTTAGAGGGAGCAGATTTCAGTTTGCTGCCCAGCAGTAGTGATTTGGACTGGTTGGTCTCTGTGTGTCTATATTTGTGGTTGAAATTTTGGCCAGTCACCACATTTTGAGAAAAAGGACATAGCCAATTTAATTTTTATACGTCTCTGAAAATTTAATCAGAATACTTTTAAACTACAATATTAGACTGTTGACCCACGATTCCAGATACTTTATACATTATTCAGAAATGCTTGAAAAAAATTCAAACATAAGCAAATATTGGATAGATAGATATATCCATTAGACAATTGTATAGTAAACGTGTATTTTGCTATTTACGTCACAGAATGTGGATATAGTTATACATCTAATTTCTTTGTGTAACTATTTCCATTGGAGATGTAAATACAGTAACTGTAGGCACAAATTACCATAATTGGCCATCTTATGTGCAGTTATCTGATTTTCATGCTTAATTGTGGTAATTGTACACAAAATTAGACTGCAATTGCCTGTTCATCTATGCAATTCTGTCCATGAAACATTGAAAATCTAGAAATAAACTCTAACAAAATATGCTTGTTATTTGTGGGTATACCACTGTACATAAAAAAATTGCTTTGCCCAGTCCTGTATAAAGGATACATTAAAAGTCACTAGAGCACAAAAAGCATATCACAGGTAGTTGACAGATCATTGCAGCCATGTAGTATTGTGATAGTACATATTTTAACCTGAATTTATGCTCTATGAATAGAGAAAGACCACGTAGTGGTCTGAATAATGCACAGGATTCAAATACTTAGTCATAAAGCCTGCCAGTTGAAACTTCTTACTTTCTACCTGGCTCTTCTCCAGCTTCTGTCTTGGAGTTTAGCAGGAAACACATTCCAGTCTCTGCGGTCTCATGTAGTGTTTCAGACAGCTGAAGAGTTTATCTGCAACATTAATTTATCTGAGTGTGTTGGTCTGTGTGTTCTGTCTCCCAGGTTCATCTGAATCATTTTAAATTACGAGATGAGATGAAAATGACAGCAATGTTGTTAAAAGCACAAGCCCAACATTTAAGTTCTTGATTATAGCATTAGAAACACTGTTACCAAAAAGAAAAAAAATTTTTCCCCCATTCCACCTTTCAGCATGGATTTTCTTACCCTAGTTAGCTTTTGAGTAAAAGGCCAAAGCCTCATTTCTCTGATTCTCTCACCCTTTCTGTCTTTCAAAAGACAAATCATTTTTTCTATTTTCAGTTGTCTGTCCCCAGAAATTTCTTCAGTTGTTTCCTTGAGAAATACAGACTATGGATTCAGATTTATCTCTTCTCCTTTCTTTAGAATTATCTTCCTATCCTTCTCTAGTATCTTTTCTGAATTTACATTATTTTTCTATTTCTTTGTATGACACATTAGCTTATTGGCTTTCTACTTTTACAACATTTTCAAAACTGTCACAAGATTTTATAAATCATATATCAGAAGAGCCCTTCAATGTGCATACTTCTAAAATTTGTAGTGTTTAGCCTATTTTAAGGCATCATAGAGACTACATAAGATACATTAATAATATAGATGGCATATAGAATTCAGAGGGCTCTATAAATAGTTTCCTTCCTCTCTGCCTGAAGTTATTTGTCTGTTTGCGATTGCAAGTATTCAGGCAGAACTGGAAGAAAACAATTAAAGAAGATAGTGCTTATTCTCAGTAATTATTTATTATTAATATTATTAAATAGTGTTTGGGAGAAGACTTCAGGGGTATTGCTTTACAAAGGAATAACTTATTCAATCCACAGCATACACATTCTCATATGCCTTGAAATGCACACGTACATCTCCCTAGAGCCCTGAGAAGACTAGATGCTTACTTGTTATGCCAATATCTACAGTTGTTATTTTGCCTTCTTCCAAGCTTTGTTTGTTGTCTTGACAGTAGCTTTTGTGGTGATATATGAAACCAGCCTTGTGCCTGATATGTTTTCATTACACAATTTTTCTCTGTAATTTTGCTACTCTAATAACATGCTATGATTTAAAACCAGTTATACTGAGAAGAGAGACTTACCTTAAGTGTCAGAGTATTTCTAAGAGGACTCAACTATGGTTTCAGGAACAGTGGAATCAAGAAGGGTGACAGATTGCGGCCTATCATGATCAACAAGGTTTTTTGGGCCATGTTGTTAAAAATGGATTGGGAGCATTGTGGACACACAGGGACCTGATCTGCTTGAGAGCCACAAAGCTGAAGTATTAATGTATTATTAGTAAAATTTTAGTGGAGTCATTCTGAAGCATTTAACATACATTACCATACATTATATTGCAAACTCTGCCTGTGTAGTCATCTCATGGAGGCAATTTATAGAAACCGAGCCGTTCTGCTGTGTGATTAAACATGAATTTCTGAAGTGTTTGTTTTGTTTTAACAGAACAATGAAAATGAAACAGCACTGCATTGTGCAGCTCAATATGGTCATTCAGAAGTAGTTGCTGTTCTGTTAGAAGAGCTAACGGACCCTACAATAAGGAACAACAAACTAGAAACACCTCTGGATCTGGCAGCACTTTATGGACGCCTGCGTGTTGTAAAAATGATCATCAAAGCATATCCAAACCTGATGAACTGTAATACAAGAAAACACACTCCTTTGCATCTTGCTGCACGTAATGGCCACAAAACTGTTGTACAGGTGCTTCTGGAGGCTGGAATGGATGTCAGCTGCCAAGTTAGTGTGTGATTTCTTTCTTCCTTTCCTCCTTTCTTCCTTTCTTCCTTTCTTTCCTTACTTTCCTGTATCATTAGAATATGATAGAAATGAAATAACTTCTTACATTTTTTCTTTTAAAATGCACTTGCCTTTACTTTGTTAGAAATGGTGCAAGGTGATATATAACACAGATTTATTATTTATGACGCAAATGATGTGTTCAGAAGGATAACTCAAGAAAGATACGTATCTTCAAAGCAGAGTGTATATTTTAATGTTGCCTTGAGACATGTAGATACACAAATCGTATCAACCATTCATGTAGGTGTATATATATTTATTTTTACAATATTGGCTTTAGTGATACGAAGTTGACTTGCTAAAGCTATGACTCTTAATGGTCATAGCAATCTGAAACAATTTTTGACTGAGAACTCATTTTCCCAGGGTTATTACATTCTAAACCCAAAGTTAGTAAATAATAATAATTTTGATTTTTCTGCTTTTCTAAATATTTGTTCTATTAATCTAAAAGAAAATTCCATAGCTTTGCACTCTTGCAGGTACTGACTCCAACCTGTTAGCTGTTTAGTGCATCTAGTGCTATGCACACCAAGTTATGATGGTGTAAAAAGGGTAACTTTAAAGAAGAGAGATGTAGATGGGAACAGATACAATGTACAACAGCAGTAAATATTATGTCCATTTCTTTGTAGTGGAAAGTGTCCAAACCTTTTAACCACAAAGGACCTCATTCTGTTATGTGTGAAGTCTTGCCTCAGTCTTATGATATTTCTTGATTTGATTGATGGCACTGTGTTTGAGTTTGAAGTGTATTTTATCTTCAGATTTAAAGTAGCCTATTTGTTGTCTGGGTATATGTAACATGGTTTGAATTAAGGTTGTTTCAGCTTTGTATCTATTTTCAGATAAACCAAAGAAATAAACATAACTGTATCTATTTTAGAGTCACCTACAGACATTCTTTACCAATAGGTGATTTAATAAATCTTGTGAACGGCCTAAACTTTGGCTAAGTTTTATAACCATTTTAAGCTTCTGGTGCATTTAATCAATTACCTTTGTACACATTATTCCCTTTTATATAGAGAGGGTCTAGGTTAACAGATTGCACCTGGATTCCATGCACTTTTGTTTTTTCTGGATTCCTCCCTCAAAGTCATGTTTTTCAACTTTTCAGGAAAAGAATGTGAAATGGAAAAGAAAAGATAGATTAAACCCCCCCCCAAAAAAAAACCAAAGCAAACCAGAAAATTTTAACATATTCTAAGATTAAAAATGGATATTCTCAAGTGTCTTCAAAATGAAAATGTGTTAAAATTGTTTTGCTGCTTTTATTAGCTCTAGTATCTTTTGAGTTAACATTGTTACTTGCTTCAAACTGTTTCAAACAGAAACACTTTTTTTCCTGTGGTTTGCCTACTTGTATATCTGCCTACCATTATGCTTCCAATTTAATATGTTTTTGATTTTCTTTACTAGAAAGTGATACACTTGCAAAGGTTAATACAAGCAGCTCTTACGTTTCACCTGTCCTTTACTATTACTATATCTTCAGTAGTTTAGAAAAGTTTAATGCTAAAGCAACACTTAATGGAACCCTTGAGTACATGCTTCTGAATGTATAATTTCTCTTCTATCTCTAGCAAATGAATGAGGAAAAAGAAAGAAACTGATGCCTGAATTGAGGCTTAAGAAATAGAATAATTGAAGAAAAATAGTCTCTGTCATGGCAATTTACAAACTGATGGTTACATGATGGTTGAATATTACACAATGCTTTTATGAAATATATTCTTCCTCTTATGTAATCAAGATAATTTTAGCACTGCTGTGAGTTCTCCGAAGCCATTTCTATCTATAGTTATGCCAAAAGTTTTTTACTGGTCTTAAAAAAAAATAATGGATGCAAATTTTGTATAATTTTCTTTTAATAAATGAGACATCCTTTTAGTAATGGTGACCTGTTTGCCATCTACACTAAAATTCTAGGACTATTTTCTTTAAATTCTAATCTGTTTTAAGTAATTTGTATTCTTATTTTTATTAGTTATTCTTAGGCAGAGGGGATTTTTAAATTTTATTTTCTTTTAATTTTTTCACTGGTTAATCTTGTTTCTTCTGTGTTTGTCGTAGTTGCCAGAAGGAAATAGAATTTATTTATTTTCTCACTGGTATACATATTCTCTGTCAATATGTTCCTTTTCATTCAGCATCTTAGCATATTGACAAGTTGGCTCAGTACATATTGTTAACTTATTACTTCTATAACCTCTGAAAAATTCTTTGTTAATGATTACTGGCAGCTTATTAAGCTGAGCAGAGCATACAGTATCAGCCTGTTACTTAAAACTGAACTCAGCTCTTTCTTTTAATATTAATTAAATTGCTCTGCATCACTGATTGGGAAACAACAATATACAAAGTATAATGCCATGTGGTAAATAAATTTGTACACACTCATACATGTTAAATAAATTCAGCTTAGCAGCAATAAAGAGCTCTCAGAATATTGAGAGGCAATTATAGAAGTAGCCTATGTGCTATCACTCTGTAATTGTAAGTATTTATTTATTTAAATGGGAAGTTTACTTTAGCCATGTTATCTTTTTCTTCTGTACTCCCGGAGCACTTTTAATCGTAGCAAATATTTGGACTAATAATAGCATTTAATTTTTTATTGAATTAATCACACATTTTATTCATTTCCCAGGTCTATCCATTATCCTTCAGTCTGAAATTATTTAGAAGTGGGCAATACAAATCTACTTCACCTCTTTATGCTTTGAAGTTTTCATTTAAATTGAAACATATGAAAAAAACACAGGTTTTGGGTGAGTGATAGATTTTGGGCCCTCAGTAAAATAAGATACTGCGCAGTTCAGTGTGTTTCATGTAAACAGTAATTTTATAATTGTAAATACCTTAAAAACTTGGCCCCTTCTGCTTATCCAGCTTTAATCTACCCCTATTTGCCTTCCTTGTCTGTTCAGTAATGATGGCAATTTCCATTGCTTATCACTGTAGTTCTTCTGCACAGGGCTTTTTGCTGTAACTATGTATGGAGGATATTTCATGAATCAATTTGCAAAGCTACTATTCCATCCTTCAGATTATGTTTGAAATCCATATCAAAACTGTAGTAAACTGCCTATGAATAAGGACTAGACAAGTGACCTAATTACACGCTCTTGCATATTTACATGCTTAAAAAATCTCTAATTAATAAAACCCTTGATGCTTTTATGTGAGCCTGCAAATTGTGTGCCAAGTTGATTTGTGTATCCTGGTGTTCCTACTGACAACGTCCTTTTATCCTTGCTTGCTTTGTGTGTCCAGCTGTGACATAGTACCTGCATTTAGCTGTAAGCTACTTGGGGCAGGGACTGTTTTACTGTATGCGTAGCATAATTTGTGCTATACTTCTCTATATTTGATATACAGAAAACTTATGCCAGGGAATCAATATATAATCCATCGACGCAAACTCAAGCAGACTTTAGCTCACTGTGTTCAAGAAAAAATACCAGAATTTTTGCATTAAACATAACTTTGGAAGAGTTTTCAAATATAATGGTAGTGTTCACATTGCCAGGAAAATATGATCCAAGGCAATGAAAGCTTCAGGAAATAAAGCAGTGAATATTGTCTATAAATCTTGAGTTTGCTTGCTGTGGTGTAGACAACAAAGGTATATTAGCGCATAGATACACCATTGTAAGTGAGAAAGATCTACCTAAAAGCTCTAGCACATCTTAAATAATGTATAGAAATTATTTGTAACTACATTTTTTAATCCTTCCAATTTTTATAACATGCTCTACTGCACTGGAAAAACACCTCCAACATTTCTGTATTCTGGTAGTAGTCCACATGTACATTTACAAAGAGATACATATCTACTCAGCCAGTACGCTGAGTTTCTCTTCGCCCTGTTCATCCTGAGGCTCAGCATTTTCCCTGTGTTAAAATGGAGTTTGGTAGCTGAACTCTCTGGTAACAAGGACATTTCTGCCTTCTGGACAGTTTCTGGGTCGAGTAATTTTATTTATTCGTTAGTTATTCACTATTACCATGAAATCCTGCCTAGAGCTTTAAAAATTTACGTCAGCATTCATCTTCATGACATCACATGTAGGATTACACATCTGCATCTTACAAGTGTGCTTTCAATCTCCATATTCCCAGAATTATTTTAGTTCAGTTTCCTGGCATTATTTCTCCTCTTGCTCAGAAAATCACCCATAGAGTTGACAGATCATTCCACTGTTTATGTGGTGTGGCTTTCAAATTCTTCTTTCGAACAGATGGTTTGTAATATATATCTCATTTCTGGGATATGGCATTCGTTAGCGTTGTCTGATGGCTTGGAGTTGTAAACCAAAGACTGCCCCAGAATTCAAGGAAGTGCAGAATGCCTGTAAAGCATTTCAGGATCATGTTCAGATATGATGGAAATAGCACAGTAGAAGAGACCAAGAAGTGAGAAAGTATAAAATTAAAAAACTGGCATTTGGCTTTGGATTCCTCTCCCAACCCTATGAATTATATATGTAGGTGTCTTGAATTTCTCTACTCCCTCTATGGATAGCACAGCTTTGGTCCATTGTTACAGAACTATCTTCTGGGTCTCAAGTTGCTCCCAGATAGATTTGTTTGACTTGGACATCTACAGGGAATTTCCTCTTCTCGTGTTACTTTTCATTCAATTTCTTATGAGATATATGCTTTCATCAAGGAAAATATTGTTTGCCTTGCCTCCAGTGGGGAATTTTGATCAATAGAGAGGACTGCTGCCAGTTCTGACAATTATCATACCAGCATCTTTTCCACACCTTAAATGAAGAGTCTGAGGATAGATCCTCTTCCTTGTCCTCAAAGCTGTTGATTCAGCTTGCCAGAACATTAATCATTCTCAGTGTTAGATCACGCCACTGCAGTGGATTCTAGCTAGCTGTTGTCACTAAAGTATGTCCATTTTTTCTATTAAAAAGGGTTCCTTATTAATACAGAATGATCTCTACAATTTCAGTCAAGGTGCAGCCTGTTCCCATCTCTGAAGTTTGTCCTTGGTAGGGCTAAAATTTAGTGCTCAGCCCTCCTGTAACATTCGAACCTCTGTGTATTTCATTGTTGGTGTATACATTACTAATTATTATCCCTGGCAGAATCACAGAATTCTTGAGTTTGGAAGAGGACTTGGGAGGTCATCTGGTCAAACTCCTCTGTTCAAGCAGGGTCACCTAGAACAGGTTGCCCAGGACCATGTCCAGGCAGCTTTTGAAAATCTCCAGGGACTGAGACTCTACAAGCTTCCTGGACAAACTGTACCAGGGTTCAGTGAATTGCACAGCAAAAAATGTTTCCTTATGTTCAGACAGAACCTCCTGTGTTTCAGGTTTCCGCCATTACCACTTCTGTCACTGGACACCACCGAGCCTGGCTCAGTCTTTACACTCTCCCTTCAGATACCTGCACACATTGATGACATCCCCTGAGAGCCTTCTCTTGTCTAGGCTAAACAGTCCCAGCTCTCTCAGCCTTTCCTCACAGGAAAGATGCTCCAGTCTCTGGATCATCTTAGTGACTCTCTCCAGTAGCTGCCTGGATGTCTCATACTGGGGAGCCCAGAACTGGACAGAGACCTCCAGGTGTGGCCTCATCAGTGGTGAATAGAAGGGACCTCCCTCGACCTGCAGGCAACACTCCTCCTAGTGCAGCCCAGTATATCATTAGCTTTTTTGCTGCAAGGGCACGTTGCTGGCACATGTTCAAATATGTCAGAATATGTTCAACTGTAGTGAATACATTCAAATATGAGAGAGACATTCCTTTTTTCTCAAAACAGTGAATCTTCAGTTGTGATTCAGCCCCTATTTTGGTGTTCTTCTCTGGCAGGTTACCGTGCCAGACTTCTCCCCATTGTGGCTTTTCAAATTTCACCATGTGTCTTTCCAAAGTCAAATATTTTGGGAGTCAAAGCTATACCTCACATCCCTGATGACTCTATGTTAAAATTACCAGACCCACTCAATAGTCTTGAGGTTTATTCATGTCAGTAAGTGACCAATCCAAAGGAAATGCCAACTCCACACAAATGCCAAAGAGGATAATAGCCTGTGTCAAAGCCTTTTTCAAGATTGCTAATGTCAAGCCTTTTTCAGTACTCAGACCTATGGCTATCAGTGACTTTTCTGAAAACTGTTTTGATTTCCAGAAGTTTCTGAGCTGCACCTTAAGCTCTGTATGTACCTTTGTGGTTGCAGTGTCATTGCAGACTTATCCACTGTTAAAGTCAATTGCAGTTACCTGATAACTCCAGTAGGTATTGAGTAAAGGATTCTGAAACTATCTTTAAGTAAATCTGAACATTTAGTCTTCTTGTTCAGAATGAGTCTGGGAATGTTCATCCAGATTGCTTCTGAAAATGGAAAGATTAGAAATTGTTTTGAGTTTCTTATGTATATTCTCTTACTGACTTCCTTCTCCTTTCCGTTATACTGTTAGTATACCTCATGTGCTGGATGTAAATGACATTGGGCATGCTCTACTTTATACGTCCATTTACTAAGTATGAAGAAAGATAAAAAGTAAATGTTCCCGTTGTGGACATAACAAAGAGTTTTCAGGCTCAATTAGTAGGGCACGTGTACACTTAATGTGTGCTCACTTCCCATCTCAGGATCTCTGATTACTTCTAAATATCCTGTCATTGCATCACTGTAGCACTAGCGCATTCGGACACAACTAATAAATAATGAATCACTAGTCATTTCAGAGTTAAGTTTTTTATGTCTTTAAAGTCCTTACACCATAGTGAGCATGACAATAGTGCATTTGGCTCAAATACAGAAAAAACAAATTCAGGCAGTAAACCTTTAACATTTGCCCACAAATGAAAAACACTCAAAATCTGATTTACTATCAGAAAAAAAAAGGAGATGAGACAGAGATTCAGTGAGATCTAGTAGTGCTTTAGCTAATGCTAATGTTGTTGTATGGAAAGGCATTCTTTTCAGATTTTTCAGTAACAGTCAGCAGTAGAAAATAATAAGAAAAGTAGCTTGTTAAGAGAGGTAGTTTGTTTTTCAGTACTGTAAATTTTATTTGAATCTGTGAAATCAGGCTCACAGACATCTAAGGTAGAATTTAAATGATCTAAATATAGGCATCTAGTGCTGTTGGAGGTGCCTTAGGGTATCCAAGATGTCTGTATTGGGCAGATATGATGCAGATTGAATGTGAGCATCAACTGGAACATCAGCTGGAGGCCAGGTGGGATATCCTAGGCCATCTCTCACTGTGCAACTGATTTGGCCTTCTAGGGTGTGGTCCATTTTCAGATTAAAACGCCACAGTGTAGATGTCCACATGCAAACTGGTTGGCTCTGCTGAACAGCTATGTTCCACTGATGGTATTGACTAGATTTTCACTGCCTGTAATAGAAGTTTAGAAATTTTACACAAATGCAGGCTTGTTAATTGGGAGTTGCATTACATCTCTATTATATTTTCTTATAAAGTTATTAATTTTTATAGTAGAACTGACAGCATTTATGTTGTTATCTTGAATAATAATAAAAAGAAATTATGGTAGTATTTGTTCTTGCCCATTCAATGTTTTTTTATGTACAGATAAAATAGAGGGGAAAAATACTTCTTTTCAAAATGTATTCTTTTCAAGAAGACTCATTGGTATTTTAATCTGCATTTTAAATGTCACAATATTTTTATTTTCTAGACAGAAAAAGGGAGCGCACTACATGAAGCAGCCCTATTTGGAAAGGTGGAGGTAGTACGCATTTTGCTTGAAACAGGTAAATCTAATTTTCAAGGAAACACTGAACAAATATCCTTAATATTCCTAATCTGATGTATGCTTTGCCAAATTTTAGTTGTACAAATTACTGTTATCTTTCTCAGCCTTTGCAAATCTAATCACATGTACATCTCCTTAAAACAGTGTTCTTTTGGAATAAGAAAGTACTGTACACTGAGAACAGAACAAAAGGAATGTTTTCACTAAGACTCAGAAATTCCATGTATGACTCAGTGTATGCCACTGTATTCTGAGAATAAATGTATTCTGAGAACATCAAATTTTGTTATTACACTCTGAAAGACAGCCAAGAATATTCTTTCATCTAGAGGCCTGAAGACTCGTGTTCACGTTTATTTCCTTCACTTAGCTATTCCTAACAAACACACCATCCTGCTTGCTCCTTCATTTCCTGGATAAACTTTGAGTGCCTCTGAAGAACGGGGAAGGCACTGTGTCTCCAAGAATTGCATTTGTCCTTTTGAAGGGAGAGGGATATAGAGTCCCAACAAACCCATCTACTACATAATAACAGTTTCAGAATTGTTGCAGGTAAATTACTCATCTAAACAACTGTGTTCTCAGGTAAATGAGAAGACCAATGAAAAAATGTCTAGAAATTACTTCTCTGAGATGTGTGAACTTCCATTACACTGAGGGATCTCACTGATCTTTATTACCAGTGCTTATGGGGTTATATATTTCAAAAGAAGTATGTCCTACTCACAGCTCCTCATCTGAATCTCAGCTAGTGCATACCTGATCTGAGATCTGTTTTCAGATAAAAAAAGGTCCTTCCAAGACGCTTTCCTGTTTGGATGAAAAAGAAGGAGGCAGAAAGGGATCTTCACCTTGGGCAGGGCCTTTTAAAATTAATTCACCTTAAAGAGGAAGGTCTGGAGAACATCACACAAACATAGGAAGCTGACCACAGATAAAGTATGCCTCATATAGATGATTACACATTATAGCTTCTGCCACAGTAGTTGTACAAGACAGTGGAGTAGAATCTTCACTGTGAACTCCTTCAACCCCAAGTGCTCTGCACTTCTGCAACACTCCCCACCTTCTGCCTTTTTTATCTAACAATCCCCTTTTCTCTAGTTCTGCTTCAAAAAAGACTCAGAAGATGTTATAAGTGGCTACTGCAAAGGAAAGGTGTAAGTTGATGTCTCTGGCCTCTGAAAATCAGCTGCCACTGCTAATCAGCCGAGTAGTATTTTGGCTTTATTTTCAGTGAAAAAACAAATGTCTCTTTCTGACAAAACAAACTAGGAAACTCTCTGCCAAGTCAGGAGATGCAAGAACTTCAGCCTTTCCTGGTGAGTAGAGAAATCCTTCCATGCTGGCAGAATGTCCTTATAGATCCTGCTTCCCCTGTTTTCCCGTATTCAGCATCCTGAGAAGAAACTCATTCTGTTCATTGGGAAATTTCATGCCTTTACTTTTTATGAAAGTGCATCTAAACCAAAAAACAACTTCAGTCTTCTACCATAACGCAAACATTTCCAAAATAGCTCCTATAAGAAAAAAGTGGAGAGTCATGCAGTATAATGAGAGGTGCTATGCTGGACCTTGTTCTCACCAAGAAGGAGGGGCTGGTGGGGGCTGTGAAGCTCAAAGGCAGCCTTGCCTGCGGTGACCATGAAATGGCGGAGTTTAAGATCCTTAGGGTAGCGAGGAGGGTGCAGAGCGAGCTCACTACCCTGGACTTCAGGAGAGCAGACTTTGGCCTCTTCAGGGATCTGCTTGGTGGAGTACCGTGGGATAATGCCCTGGAGTGAAGAGGGGCCCAAGAAAGCTGCTTAATATTCAAGGATCACCTGCTCCAAGCTCAGGAGCAGTGCATCCCAACAAAGGAAGAAGTCAGGCAAAAACTCCAGGAGGCCTGCATGGATGAACAAGGAGCTCCCAGACAAACTCAAACAAAAAAAGGCAGCCTACAGAGGCTGGAAGCAAGGACAGGTAGCCTGAGAGGAATACAGAGAAACTAGGCAACCAGGGATCAGGTTAGGAAAGCTAAACCTCTGACAGAATTAAAGCTGCCCCGGGGATGTCAAGGGCAACAAGAAAAGCTTCTATAGGTACATCACTGATAAAAGGAAGGCTAGGGATAACGTGGGCCCTCTCCAGAAGGATATGGGAGACCTGGTTACCTGGGATGTGGAGAATGCTGAGGTACTCAACAGCTTTCTTGCCTCAGTCTTCACTGGCAAGTGCTCCAGCCACACTGCCCAAGTCACAGAAGGCAAAGGTAGGGACTGGGAGTATGAAGAACCACCCACTGTAGGAGAAGATCAGGTTTGAGACCATCTAAGGAACCTGAAGGTGCACAAGTCCACGGGACCAGATGTCATGCATCTGTGGGTCCCGAGGGAACAGGTGGATGAAGTTGCTAAGCCATTATCCATCATATCTGAGAAGCTGTGGCAGTCCGGTGAAGTTCCCACTGACTGAAACAGGGGAAACAAATCTCGTATTTAAAAAGAGTAGAAAGGAAGACCCAAGGAACTACAGGCCAGTCAGTCTCACCTCTGTGCCTGGCAAGGTCATGGAACTGGTTCTCCTGGCAACTATGCTAAGGCACATGGAAAATAAGGAGGCGACTGGTGACAGCCAACATGACTTCACTAAGGGCAAATTGAGCCTGACAAATTTGGTGGCCTTCTATGGCGCAGTTACAGCATTAGTGGATAAGGGAAAAGCAACTGATGTCATCTACCTGGACTTGTGGAAAGTATTTGACACTGTCCCACATGGCATCCTTGTTTCTAAATTGGAGAGACAGGGATTTGATGGATGGAGTACTCAGTGGATAAGGAATTGGCTAGACAGTCACACTTAAAGAGTTGCCGTCAATGGCTCAATGTTCAAGTGGAGACCAGTGATAACTGGTGTTCCTCAGGGGTCGGTTTTGGGACTGGTGCTGTTTAACATCTTTGTCGACGACATAGACAGTGGGATTGAGTGCACCCTCAATAGGTTTGTCAATGACACCAAGGGGTGTGGTGCAGTGAACATGATGAAGGGAAGGGATGCCATCCAGAGGGACCTTGACAGGCTTCAGAGGTGGGTCTGTGTGACCCTCAGGAAGTTCAACAAGGTCAAGTGCAAGGTCCTGCACACACATTGGGGCAATCCCAAGCACAAACGCAGGCTGGGCAGAGAATGGATTGAGAGCAGCCCTGAGGAGAAAGACTTGGGGGTGCTGGTTGACAAGAAGCTCAACAAGACCTGGCAATGTGCACTCACAGCCCGGAAAGCCAACTGTATCCTGGGCTGCATCAAAAGCAGCGTGGCCAGCAGGTCAAGGGAGGGGATTCTGCCCCTCTACTCAGCTCTTGTGAGACCCCACCTGGAGTCCTGCATCCATCTCTGGGGCTTTTATCATAAGAAGGACATGGACATGTTGGAGCTGGTCCAGAGGAGGGCCACGAATATGATCAGAGGACTGGAACACCTCTGCTATGAGGAAAGGCTGAGAGAGTTGGGGCTGTTCAGCCTGGAGAAGTGAAGGCTCCAGGGAGATCTTACTGTGGCCTTCCAGTACCTGAAGTGGTTCTGCAAGAAAGCTGGAGAGGGACTTTTCACAAGGGCATGTAGTGATAGGACAAGGGGTGATGGCTTTAAACTGAAAGAGAGTAGATTTAGATTGAATATAAGAAAGAAATTCTTTACTATGATGGTGGTGAGGCACTGGACCAGGTTGCCCAGAGAAGCTGTGGATGCCCCCTCCCTGGCAGTGTTCAAGGCTATGTTGAATGGGGGTTTGAGCAACCTGGTCTAGTGGAAGGTGTCCCTGCCCATGGCTGGAGGGGTTGGAACTATGTGATCTTTAAAGTCCCTTCCAACCCAAATCATATTATTAATTTATGATTATATGATCATGGACATCAGGTTCTTTGAGGCCTATCCAGGATAAGCCTCAAACTTACTTGTAGTTACCTTCACAGCTGGAGTCAAACAGTTACTTTGTCAACAGTCTGAACAGTCTGTGAGGAAATGCTCTGGCTGTGCTCAGAGCCCTGATACTCTTTAAAGTCCCTTCCAACCCAAATCATATTATTAATTTATGATTATATGATCATGGACATCAGGTTCTTTGAGGCCTATCCAGGATAAGCCTCAAACTTACTTGTAGTTACCTTCACAGCTGGAGTCAAACAGTTACTTTGTCAACAGTCTGAACAGTCTGTGAGGAAATGCTCTGGCTGTGCTCAGAGCCCTGATACTGCATATGGGTATTTCAGTCTACTTGGAGCATGAATTTTTAACGTGTTGCCAAGAAGTACAAAGCTTTTGAGCTTAATAAGTTTTTCAGTATTGCTCCCAAAACACATACTGGTACTATGGACTAGAAAATCCCCAATGAATCAGAGCAGTTTGGGGAGAATTAGAATCCAGGAATGTAGGAAAACCATTTAGAGAAGTTCTTGATTTTATAAAATATTATTTTCAGGATGGCTGTTTCTTAGGAACAATCTGTTAAAATAATCCCAAATTTGATTTAAGAAGCTTACTTTATATCCCCATGGGTTACAGAAACATGACAAAAACAATCCATGTCAGCATGTGAATTTTAGGCTACTGAAGCTTTAAACAGAAATGGATGCTATACTTCAACTGTAACACAGCTGTTAATCTGCTACAGTTGTAAAACTGCTTGCATTCAATTTGCCAGATGATCAAGTTTGATATATCACATTTATAATCTGAAGTACTTGGGGTTAAAAATTCCACCACAGATCATTTTCTTTTTCAGGAATTGATACCAACATAAAGGACAGTTTGGGTAGAACGGTTTTAGATATTCTTAAAGAACATCCATCTCAACAGTCACTCCAAATTGCAGCTCTACTTCAAGGTAAGTCATATTACACATTTGTTAGAGACAACTTAGAATTAATATATATAGTAATTTCTACTCTTTAATTATTTCTTTATACAGAAGAGTAGTCTTTTGAATTAAAAAGACAAAATTCTTCTTTACCATATGCACAAAAATAAGTAGTTGAATATCTGAATTTCAGAGTAAACCTCTTCTTTTTTTGGACAATAGACATTAGCTTGGTGTGTCACTTATAGTTAATCTTTGTACATTCTTCATTACAAAATAACATTTTAATGTTTCACTGCAGTTCCATCAAATTATGATGGTAAAAACAATTGAAATGCTGGATTCATTCATAAATAACAACTATGACTGAAAGATGATCACGAATTTTAAAAATATTTCATTAACTTTTTCTCATATTGCTTCAATTTAAAAAAAAAATTAAACCAGACAGTCACTCTTGTCATGATAGCAGAAATAATATAATTTTGTTATACATACATTTGTTCTCATTCTTCATCTTACTTTCATGGTGTAAGACTGATGGAAGTCCATTGCTTACTTTTTTACTCTAGAATTTTTTACTCTAGAAGATGGCAGTAAAGTGATTAAACATGAGCTAGTACATAACTTAGTGTTAAACATTGTTCCCTCTCTTCAATGGAATTTGTTCCCTGCATTTTCAGATTAGTTGTTCATTAACTGTGTTTGACAGAGGAGTTCCCTTCAGGTATCACTGCTGCATCTCCACCTCTATTGATTATTCCCATCTTTAAATAAGCCATTTTAATCAGTTCAGTGTTGGTTCTACATATGAACTAGCACATGTTTTAGTCTCCTGCATAACTGCATTTCATAAGAACATCTCCTAGAGAAAATGAGGTCATGTGGCCACACTGTGTCCTTCAGGTTTTCTTTCCGGAAGAACTTCCAAACTTGTTAGCCAGCTTCAGTAAAGTTTTCCAGTGAGATGATGGACTGAAGATACTAAGCTCCTTTAAGTATAATGAAAATTTTGCAGGCTGGAGGAGAGGTATGCTCTTAAGGAGCAGATCCATGTTATAGCTGAACTGAATTAACAGCTTGCCATGAGGAGTCCCTCTCTCCCTTACTTCCTGTTTTCTTTTTCCCTCATTCACCGCCTTCCTCCTCACTTACTTCCACCTACACAGTTCCTTCCCATATTCCCTGCTTACAAGAGATTGCAAAGTGATCTGATTCAGTTCATGAACCAGTAATACATAAAATATATAATTGATTATATTACTATATTTAATAGTATGTAAAAACCATTAAAAATATTATGATTATAGAAATATACATTTTTTTTGTTTTAATGAACTTGCCTTCTATGTGATTCAGATCCCAGAGTTATCTCTGTCCCAGATAACTGGCAGAAATGTGCATCAAAGAGTGGGGAGGAAGATATGGGTGAGGGAAGCAGGTTTTCCTCCTGTCAGCGTAGGGAGTTCCTAATATGACTCAGACCATATGGTGAAACTTCAGCCTTTATGTCCTCACTGAGCTGCAGCGTGAACATACCACTAAGTAGAAGAGAAGAGGGTTAATATCACACTGAAACTGGCAGGCGGAAGAGTGTCAGTCAGAGCTTTCACTTTCTTAGACATCCAAATCAATCACCTTTCAGTTATTAATCTAAGATTCATTATAATGTCCCATCACCACTAAACTAATTTTCATTTTAGTATGTCTGCATTGTTCCATTTTCTCCTTACTGTAATAACCTTGCAGTCTCAACCCCACTAATGAACAAAGGTTCTTTAAAGTACCCTTGCTCTATGAAAAATAAAGCACCCAAACCCCTTTCGAGGGTTTGTCATGTTGATGGATCAGTGTCTGCCCTTAGTTTGTACCACAAAAAAGAAATACATCAATTTCAAGGCTTTTTGGTGCTTTGACTTGCAATCTTTTTCACATGTGCCTTGAAAGTACAAAGAAGACCGCTTAGTAGTTTCAGCTCATATTAGTGTGGTGCAGCTGTGCTTGTAATGAACAGCTGTTTATTTTTGCTCTGTCTGCCTTACAGACAGAAGTGATGTGCAACGATGAAAAATGTTTACAAAGATGTCAGTCTGAGCCTTACGAAAAACTGAGAAGCCCCTTCAGAACCCCCCTGTGGAACCCACTGAGATGCTTTTTCATCAGCAAAGGGTTCACTGAAGCTTTAAACATCAATGATAAAGTTTGAACTGCGAGCTGAAGTTGAAAAATAAGATTAGGAGTGGCAGGATTCAGTAGTAGTGCTGCTAATGATACAGTAGACCTATCCTCCTCTAAAAAGCCAGCTGAATATACTCTTCACTGAAGTGTGGCCATTTATCCTGTTGTAGCTGAAAAATCAGTGAAACACTGGGATTTTGGGAAATCTGAATGTACTGTAATTGAGTTTGACTTCAGTCGGTAATGAATTCCATGCAAGGAAAGGACAATTGCTGAGAGAGAGTTAGTGGCTTCCAAATACCTACCTGTTAAAGCTCCTGTCTTCAGATGATTGTCTAGAGAAGCTTACATGTGTCCTTCACGTAGACTTGTAGGAAAAAGAAATTAAATTAACGGAGTCAGAGAATTACTGACCAGATTTTGTAAGTTTCTTCCTCATTATCTAATTATTTTCTTTATGCAGACACAACCGCATTGAATTTATCCTTTCACTTTCTTGCCAGGATAGAGTAAGATTTTATCACCTAGCATTCTCATTAATTTTTACCATTTCCCCTTTGCATTGTTGTGAGTGTTACTCTACAGTTTATAGTATTAACATTGCATAATATTTGTCCCTGACACAAGACATTAGCTTTCAAAATATTTAACAGACTGAAAGATGCATATAAACAGACTGGCAGAAATGGACAAGGAAGTAACTGACTGGTATGACTGCTGGGCCTGATAAATAGTGTTCTGTCCTATATGCAGAGGGGTTACAGAGTTGTAAGAAAAGTTTTGAAAGAAAATGAGTTGGTTTTGAGGATATTTATGAGAAACTTCTTTGAAGGAGAAGAAAGTAATTTATGTCTTTAGAAGCAGTTCATGGAGCCAGTAATACTAAATCCATTCAGCTGATACTAAAACTGGAAGCATTCTGTGAAGGAGGCCTGCAGAATTCAAGAACTGTGGATAGAAGTTTATATTGGTATTCTCCCTTTTTTTAAGAATATTTACAAAACTACTTTTACAGATTATAGGTTAAAATGAAACAAAACATTTTGCCAGTGATGTTTTAGAAGTGATCCTAGTGTTTTTGTGATCTTTACGTCTTTTTCACTATCCTGAGAAAATAGTAATTGAAATTTCTGCAAAATTTTTTTGTGTGTTTGCAAAGTCTGCCATCTTTTTGGAGATTTTGGAACAGTATCCATTAGAAGGAAAATAAATAACAAAATCCCTTTAAAGAGCAACGTGAAAAAGGCTGGGTGAACTATACACCGCCTGATTTTTTTTTTAGTGCCTGTTAACATAGATGGAATTAGTAGACAGTTCAAGTTTTAATTCTTTGTCTTTCATATATGTCCCATCATTTTCTGTGTCTCAGGTCTGAGTTGCACCAAACTCAATTAAAAATACTTATTACAGTTTAGATTCTTTACATGGTAATGAAGAAATAGCTGTTTAGGCATTATGTACTCAAAGAGTGGAGAATTAGAACAGTGTGCCAAGTAAGGCCAGTCTATTGGATGCATTTCATGGATGCAGTGAAACAACAACATTCCGTGCCGAAGCAGTTAACCACATTGGCACTTAGGGCTTTATAATTAGGCATTGAAGATAAAAAGGATGTTGCCAAGGCTAGTAGGCCTAAAATTAAACCGACCAGCTGTGTTTTAGTTTTAGCACATGTGAACGTGACGCAGGTGCATGCTATACCATCGTTCAACTCTTTCTCCACAGCTCACTATGCTCTCTGTTAGAATCTTGCTCTTTTACCATTTCTGGAAGCAGAATTCTTGTTACTATGAAGAAAAGGATATAGTAGATAAACAGATGAAAAATGACATGAGCCCAGGGAAGGCACAATAAGCTCTTCCACATAGACAGTGTGGAGATAGATGTAATGGAAAGCTGTTTCCACTTTCTTCTGCTGAAGCTGCTTAAGAACCTAACATTGTTTGTACATGTTACCAAATTATTAATAAATGGAAGATGCATAAGCAGTTGCAGAATCAGGACCCCTTTCTTCTCCCTGCTGCTTAAATAGCTTTGGTGTCACTAGCACAGGCTTTCTCTTGTGTATTCTCTCTCTCTCTCTCTCTCTTTATCTCCTCTTTTTGTGGACAAGTAGATCTTCCATTCCCTTGAGGGCAGGAGGCCTGCCTCACTGGAAGCATGGAATAGGTTTCCAGTCAAGGATTTAATTACAGCCGTGTGGGATGAAAAGAATTGGGATCTCAATCCGCCTTTGTTGGTTTTTTTCTGGGACTTCTCAGCTCCTTTCATAGGCTATTGTGCAAAAGCTGTAGAGTATGAACCATGTTTGTGAATTAGCTTAACTGCTGTTGTTTTGGGGACTGAAAGTTTACCGGTACCCTTACCTGTCTCAGTATCATAGCAGTACTTGAGTGCTTGTTTGTGTTTATCTTCACTGAACACATGCACAAAAGTCTCCTTATGTGCAGAGAACTTAAACATGTAATTAAAAACTGATTTAAGGCTTATCTGGAATCAAGTTAAACTTGAGTCATTCAGAATTGTCCTCTGAAATTTAGGAGACTGAAGTCAGCCCAGCCTCCATCTCGGCTCGTCTGCCACCTTAGCCCACCTGAAGATAGGTGTTGCCCGTCAGTTTTCTGTAACTGCTGCTGCTATAAAGAGAAAAGGAACGGGGTCACAAAGCTTCAGGTGGGCTTCATCACAGGGGAGTAAGACAGCTGTTTTGGGAGCGCTTTTAGAGAGCTCATGGGCTGGGGTGGGACTCAATAGAGCTGCAGGATCCTCAGCTGTAGGCTGGGAGGATCCTGGGGAGAGAAGAGCTCTGAAATTTGCTGCACTTTTGGAAGATGGAGTGAAGGAGGAGTAAGTATCTCCCTACAGAAACATGGGCTGTGGAGGGAAGTGGTTTCTAAACCATTTTTATTCCTCCAATCTAGTTGCTTGGAGAGTCTTCTGTTTGAAAGGGTGAGTGTTCAGATTTTTATTTTAATAAAATTTGGCTTTTTTAAAGTTTAAAAAGCCTTTTGGCCTATTTAGGGGAGGTCAGTCTAGGGTGGAACTGTATGGAAATCCACCCCATGGTATGGCTGAAGTAGGCTGTCAAAAGAAAAGGGAAAGGATCTCATACTTCATTAAAAAAAAAAAAAAAAGTTGTTTGATTTTTTTTTTTTTCCATGCAAAGGAAAAGTAAAAAGCTCTCTGAGGCCAATGTAGCCATTACTCTAAAAGCCCAAGTTTTTAAATAAAGCAAAAATCTTGATCCTCTCACCTCACTGAGGAATTAGAACCTGGAGGAGCAGAAGTAAAAGCAAAATGTGCCCTAGAGCCTGAGCTTCTACTGCCCCTGGAAGTTCAGTCACAGCTCCAGCTGAGCTGGGCCATGTTTTCTTCATGGCTGACCTTCCTGGCTCTGGCTGCTCTGCATAGAGGCAGCTGTGTTTCCCTGCTTATGTATTAACGCTTTCCCTTCTGTTTGGCTTTGGCCTAACCGGTGTTACAGAAGCTGAGAAAGCTGGAGTTCTGTCTGTTTGAACTCTCCAGTGCTTGTTACCTTCTTGGCTTCATATTCCCTACTGCTCTCATTTCCACTGCTCTGTGACCACTTGTATTCTATTAGTTTTTGTGCACATGATCCTATTGAGAATGAGTGGGACTATGTTAAAATCAGACAACTGTATAAAAGAATGCTACTAAGCAGGCAGAGTTTTTGAGATTCTTAGTATTAATTCTCACTGAACTGTAGTCTGCCGTTTTTGAGTCAACAGAAGTAAAATACTCCATTCTTCCTGAAGCAGTACGGTGAGGGAATATCTCTGCAGTGTGTATTAACATATGCTTTCTTCAGCCCTTACGTGCTAGTCATGCTGGCTGTCTTTGAAACATGGAACAGGATAACAGTAGCTGGTGAAGGAAGCTTTATGAATCTGACAGGTCACGTCCTGAACAGCTTTCACTCTCCCCTATTGTAAGAATGACAGATTTTTCTCTAAACTCTGTGAGACGACAGCTGGTGAAACTGTTTTGGTCATTAAGTAGTAAATTCAGAACAAAGCCCAGCTTAGTCAATTAATCTTTCTCTTGTTTTTGAGGAAAGTGATAGAATCCAGAGCAGTCTCTCAAGTACACCATAGTCAGAGCAGGTGAAGGTAACAGTATCATCTTTTTCAGTAAGTTTGGGCAGGCTTTGAAGATTGATTGCTAGCCAGCTGTAAGTGAATAGAATTCGGTTGCTGGTGAAAGCATCCACTGCTTGTGTGTACTTTGGCTTTCGACATAGATCACCTGCTTTGTGTCTGTTTCTTTGATAATATTGTGGTTAAGTATATGTTCACCTAGACTATAAGCCTCACAACTGAGTCTATGTCTTTGTCTCATACATATACAGTAGAATTTCCAGTAATATAAAACCGAGTTAGGAGTGGAAATCCCACAGAAGTCCAAAGTTTTAAGGGTTGCATTCTTACAAGGATGGTAGACAGTTGGCCTGTTTTAAACCTGTACACCATACCTTGTGATCAGCCTTTTGCAGAGGTTTTCTGGAAGGAACTCATCAATTTTTAAAGTAACTATTTATGAGGCTAGTGTTGAACTTGAGATTTCCTCCTCAGAACTAGCCTTTGGCAGGTAAGTGCATTGGTCTGAAAGTGGGGCCTGACAAAGGATAAAAATAGGGTATTAGTTTAAATCCACAGTCTTATATGAATATTGGACAGCAAGGTCAAAGCCCTTTGTAATCTCCCTTGCATTTTATTTTCTAGTAACATCTGTATTGATCCAATAATTTTAACCGTCCCACCTAGTAGAACTTCATTTTAGGTTTGCTTTTGGATAGTTGCACAATTATCAAGTAAATATTTTCAGGCGTGAATTCTATTTTTCCTTATATTTTGTTTTGAGTCTAGCTTCCTTTTTATTTCTCCTGTCTTGCATGTCAACTTGACAAATAATATAGCTGATGAAGCTGGAAAACATTCCAGAGCATTTTGTTATGCTGCTGGTTTTCTCGTGGTCTGTTACAGCTCATCTGTGCTTCTGTGCTTTCAGCATTACACAAAAAATAAAGTGCCCATTTTCATATGAAGAAGTGTGTGACAGATTATCCAGAGGACCGTTGCCAGCCATCTAGCTTTAATATATGACACTTTCAAATCATACATTCTTTTAAAAATACCCAATAACCTGCAAAGCATTCTGAAACTGCATGCTGTTCTCTGCTATTTCTGATTTCATTTTCTCAGATGTCTATTTTATCACAGACAGTGTTTGGGTTTGGGGATTTTTTATTTAATCAGAATAACAGCAAGCTAAACAAGTGTGTTGTGGACTGTAGAAATTAAATCAGGGAGATTTTGCTTCCTAGAAACTCTTTAGTCCTTCAGTGTGATATTGATGAAAGCAGTTATTGTAGTTTGCTTTTTTGTGTGTTGCAGCATGTACTGTTGTAGCTACTATCTGGTATTGGAGAGAAAGTGTTTAAGCAGCTTCAGAAAATCAAGAAAATGCAGATGCAGAATAACTGCCTGAACTGAGAACCAGTCACTCTACTGGGGAAAAATGTGTCACTATTGCATAAATTAATTTCTAATTTAATATTTAATATTTGTTCTACAATAGCATCTGTTAAGGTCTTGGTGTGCTGTTGAGGTAGCCTGTGTAAAAATTCACATGAGAGTAATGTATCTAATTACAAAAAATAATAGTAATGAAATTGAAGTTCAGCACATTCACCATTCACGTTTTTCTGTTTATATAAACATCATCATGAAGGTGGGACAAGGGAAGTTATAAGGATGAAAAGCACAAAAATTTTAGAACATTGCTTTTTAGACTCTTAGTTTTAACTAAATTTTTGAGATTGCATTCTTTTTTCACATGTGTTGTCTCTGTGCTGCAAGCAGAATATTTGGTTTTCTTAACAGTGTCAATATATCTACTTATTGTCAACGTCCTGAATATCTTGACTAAAAACTCTTAACAAGTTTACAACAAAAGAAGACTCTTTCAACAGTAATAATATAATGGATCAGTTACATAGATATTTTGAGGAGACAGGAAAAATACAGGGAGAGTTGCAACTCATTGCTCATACAATAAGATTTCTGTAACAATTTCAGCAGATTAAAGAACTGTCCATTATAGTGTTTTATAATATTTTCAGTGAATGATTGCCTTGAAGCAGCGTTTATGCATAATTACAAGGTTGTAATATGAAAAACTGGAAAGGCTTTAATGAAAAATGAAGTGACAAATATATTTTTGGTTGGAATAGACCCCCTTAACTCAGGAATTTAAGTGTATGTGTATCTTTAAATTGCAGAATATATGGAAACAGGAAATGCAAGTATTTCAGAGGAATGCCCACTGGAATGCGCAGAGCATCAGTCTTGTGTTTTGTCCCCAGAGATTCCTCCGTCTCCAAAGGCTAAAAGTAAATACATGTACTCTGTGAATACAGAAGCTGTACTGACCTACTCTTTAATACTAGAATTATATTGCTAACACATTCATACAAACATACAAAATGAAAAAGAGATTAAGAAAGTTACTGTTACGAGAAGCTTTTTTTTCTACAGTGAATTACCTATCTTGACTATATACACTGTAATCCAGTCCAGATAGGTAAGCAAAGAAATGTATTCTCAGAAAGGACAAGTCACTGATGGATTACAATGTATTACATTATTTCACGTTAAATCTTTTCAATTTATCTGACCTTGCATGTTTCATAATCAAGTAAAAGAAAAGAATACTAGATATGTCGAAATACTCTGCAGGCATTGTTCACATTCAAGTTGAAGACTAAATTTACTGTGTCTTTCCCAGTGAGTACCTCTTCCAGTTGTGTTACGTTTCGATGCCTCTTTCAAATATCATGTGTACTGCTGTTCAATTCATCTGCTAACTTCTTTCCTGTGCTGTGACTATCATTGTTGTATGTGCGTGCTTTCATCTTATGTTCTGACTCACCCTTTTTACACCACAGCCACTTAAATATGGCATTTCCTGAGTGCTGTGTTGTCCTGCTCTTCCATGAAAATCATCCTCCTCTAGAACCAAACCTGACTTCTGCCTTCTGTAGTCATCCAAAGTAAACAAAGTAAATGTAATTGACTGCTGGCAAATAACTAAGCCTTTCTTCTTTGTTTTTGTTGTGTGAGTTGATTTGTTGGGGTTTGTTTGTTTGTTTGTTTTTCTTTTGAGGGGGGTGACTTACTTGTTTTGGGGTTGGTTTTTTTTTTTTAAACACCTTAACAGGGAGAGTTTTCATTCATAAGAAGTCAACCACTCTGTGCAATAGAAACGTCTGTCCTGAAATTAAGTAGTAAATATTTTTAAAATACATTTTGCTTCTTAATGATAAGGTCATGATCTCACATTCCTTGTTTCCACTTTCAAGGTATACATACTCTAAAACATGCTAGCTGGCTTTTGCTTGTGTATTGTGCAATCTGATTCTAAAGGAAAGAAATTGTACTGGATTGTGCTTGCCATCCATCTGTCTGCCATTCTCTGACAAACTCATTTCAACTGTGTCCTTCAAAATAGCTAGCTAGATAGAGAAAAGAGAACTTAAGTAATACCTGCACTGAAAGAAATAGGCAAAATTTGTCTTTTATGTATTTGTTCTGGCAGCAATCAGCCAGCCATTTAGTGTCTGCTTATTCACAGGTCAGTCAGCACTCCTGCAGTTCTGGTTTTGTTATACAGAATTCATTCTTACCCAGTAAAAAATATTGCAGGCCAATAGGGGAGAAGATGGGGTTGGGGACATGAACATAATTCTGTAGGGAACTGTAGTTCTGTTTCTTTTTAGAGCACTGTATCATGATTTTACAGTAGTTCTTAATATGTAGCTATTTTCCTTCCAATTTTTATTTATTATAATATTAATCTTCAGTAATTCCAATTTTCTAACTAAAAAGCATAATATAAATAAACCTGATCATATCTTTGTTTAATTGAGAAGTTTTGTGCAAAGATACCATTGACTAAGAGTAACAAGAGTTTTGGATGCAAGATTTCTGTTACTTAGCTATTAAAAGGCAATTAGATGCTTTAAATTAACAACTTCTGTTCTTGGCTCTGAAAATTTCAGTCATAACTGGCCATAGTTGTAATTTTAAAAATATTTTAGAATATTTGTTTACCTAGCATAACAAGCAGTGACAATGAAAAAAGTGGCACAAAAAAGAGCTCTAGACCAAGCAGATACAAAATCTTATCTAGGGCTTCTTTAGTTATGTGAATGCACATGTGTGTTGTGTGTGTGCTGAGCTTAGTCTACTCATTCTGTTTTTCCTTTTTGGCCTTTTATTCCCAAAGATGGAGTAAAATAGAATTATGCCTGTATTTTATCGAGGCTAAGGACTGTAGTTTCCAACCACACGACATGGAAATCTAGTCAAGAGAAGGTGTTTCTTATTTGCCCCTGGAAAAACTTGGCTTTCACCCACATTTTCATTGCTGTTACTGAAAGTAGTTGTGTAACATGTACAATATATTATCAGAACGTAATGCAGTTGTTCATAACAAGTAGCTTTTTATTCCATGGAGATCTTGCTGCTGCCGCCAGTGGGCTATTTGCAGATAAGTTAGCACTCAATGTGATTCTAATACTTATTACTACTAGTATCTTTAATAGTAGCCCTCAGTTACTATAGACATATAAAGCCCATTTTGGTAGATTTCTTAACTAAATATATCTGATTAAATTAAGTAGAAAACATGAAACACGATGTTGAATAAACTAGATGTGTTTCTGATAGACTGCTGTAGGGAGGTATGTTTTAAACCTGTGGGTTTTGCCCAGTATATCCTTCACTATTCCGTTTAATCCTGGACAAGTAAGCAAGAATTGTTTATAAAACACAAGTGCTTTGATGGGACAGAGGTGTGCTTTTGGAAACTCAGTTCCAACTTACTTACAGTTTATGGAACCTATGTAGTGTATTATTTGATCACAGGAGCACGCATGAACCCGATGCAGAGTATGGGATGTTGATTTTCTGTCTGCAGAAATTTTTCTTTCTTGGATTAATTTTACATTCTTGGATAGTTGATATTTCTAGCCAATTTTCAGGATTAGAAAACAAAAAGGGTAAGTATATAGTGTAATTCATCCTAATTAAATCTAAGGTATAGAGGAATGCAGAAGTATGTACGTTACCTCCAATGATTCCCATTCTGGAATGAGAGGCCATTATTTTTGAGTGGATAATCGTGCATGAAGATCACTGTTTAGATGATAAGGCATGGAATATAACAGATACTCAATGAAATTTAAAGAAAGTACATTTTATTTTAGGCATAAATTAGCCCTGGTATTCTAATTATTGACTAATGGTGTGTCTGTTTTTAAAGGTGAAGCTGTGACTGGAGAATTATCAAAGCTCTTAGATGAAATCAAATTGTGCCAAGAAAAGGAATACTCTTTTGAAGATCTGTCTCATACAATATCAGAACATTACCTGGACAATTTTAGTAAAGTATCAGAGGAAGAACTTATGACCAGTGGAAGCCAAACCAAGCTTAATGTAGTAAGTAAGATGGGATACAAAGACAATATATTCAGTTATATCTGCTGTATTTATGGCACATTCAAGAAATAAATAGTACATGAGTGAGACTAGTACAAGTCTAACATTATAATAGAAAAAAATTAGTATGTGTTCCTTACAGATTTAAAATTTAATGTTACCCTTATTTACAAAACTATTACATATCGCACCTCAGAATGGCTTTTTATGGCACCACTAATATGAACAAAAGTTCAGGTTATTTGTTCTTTTGAGTGTGGGGAGTGCAAGGAAGCATTTTTTGAGAAATCAGTTGAAATCAGTATGCTCAGTACGATACTGGACACTAAGTGCTTGCAGAATCTGATCAGAAGTGACCCTCAAAAGAAGCTAAGCATCTTCAATTATGATTCTTATACATTTTATTACTATATGGCTTTCTCACTAGCCTAATGGAATTAAAGACCGAGTCTCTAATACTGGAAATTGTTATGGTTGTGATACTTCAGTGATTTTCAACTACAGTTGAAAATATGACTTCATTACTACTAATCCTCTGAATAAAGTGCTTTAGAATTCATTTTTTCTTTACAGTCTAGCAAGGCCTTTTTTTTTTAATTGAATTCTCTTCTTCAGTAAGTAAAGTAAATGGGATTTCCCAGAGAATACAGCACAGAACAGAGGGAAAATGCTAAGTGCTAAACTTCACTTACTGTTCTTAATAAGTTAAGAAATATTATGCTTTCGTGTGTGGGGGAAAAAACATGGCAAGTTAAGGACTCTTATGATCTAGAGAATTTTCATAGAATCATAGAATGGTTTGGGTTGGAAGAGACCTTAAAGATCATCTGGTTCCAACCCCCCGCCATGGGCAGGGACAACTTCCATTAGACCAGATTGCTCAAAGCCCTGTCCAGCCTGGCCTTGAACACTGCCAAGGAGGGGGCAGCCACAGCTTCTCTGGGCAACCTGGTCCAGTGCCTCACCACCCTCATAGTAAAGAATTTCTTTCTTATATCAAATCTGAACCTACCCTCTTTCAGTTTAAAGCCATTACGCCTTGTTCTGTCACTGTATGCCCTTGTGAAAAGTCCCTCTCCAGCTTTCTTGTAGGCCCTTCCAGGTACTGAAAGGCTGCCATAAGGTCACTCCAGAGCCTTCTCTTCTGCAGGCTGAAGAGCCCTAACTGTGTCAGCTGCCGTGAAATGCAGTAGATACTTTTGTAAAGTGCTTCTAAGGTGTTTGAATGATTGAATACATAACCCATACTGAAGTCAGCCTGAACAAGGTACTGACCCCATTTAAGCATTTTTATATATCTTTCTAGCGTGTCTCTGTATTTAGGTGCTAACTGCTATTTAAATCTGCTCAGCTGCTCTTTTGTGGAAAACGTGATCCGCGTGATTCTGTCTACTCAGACTGAATTTTTTACAGACCTAAATGAAATACAATGTGAACAGGAAGTATTCAGCCCCTAAATCTGTAATTTACATGCAGCACACAAATACAAAGGTATATTAGGAAATACATTTTTTGAGATTTTGTCTATTTGTATATTGAACTAGATATGAAAACAAGTCTTGAAAAATGGGGACTGTTAAGCATGTTGTGGCTCTCTCCTACTAGTGCACCCAGCTTTTCTTTGAAAGAAAACTAGAATGAGGATGATGGGTACACACTCCCCACATGAAGTCAGGATGGAGGGCAGAGGATGTTTTACCCTACAGTAAACCCAACTATACAGGCCTATATGGAGAGGACTCTGCTGTGATGTGGAATTTTCCTGTTTGATCTAAAACATCCATTTAATTTTTTTTAAAGTATTTTAAGGTCAGTCAGTCTGTTCAGTTGCTACCTGGCTGCCTTGCATCAAAAAACAGAAGTTGCTCCTAGTTTTAACACACTGTCTTTTAGTTTTGGGGAGGTGCTGCCTTCTGTTGGCGTGTAGAATCCCTGTATAGTGTGTGAGTGATATGAAAGCCCACACATGCTGTAAGAAGCTGTAAAGGAGTAATAAGGAAGAAGCACTGCAATTAAGAGATATGTTTATCTCTGAAAATCGGTGCAAAGGTGAATGCTGTCTAGTGAAAACTACCCTGGGGTCAGGACTAGCAAGCATGGTGGTGGAAGAAGTGTGACAGTAGGGTGATGACTGAAGAAACAAATGAATATTTATGTATAAGAACAAGGAGATACAGAGAGAAAGGGAGAAGTGGGTATAGATATGGAGAGTCAGAAATAGATTCCTTGGATATGTATTAAAGAAGAGAAAGATTCTTACAGCTTCTTCTGATTTTAGTTCTCTCCTCCCTGGGAAGCTTCTGTAAAAATCTCAGTAGGGTATGTGGGGTCTATTCTGTCTGCATTCATTCAGCTCGCGTTCATTGTTGCTGCACATGCCAAGACCCTGTGGAAGCAGGGGCAGCACAGGAATGTGGTAACACTGGAGCACAGATGCTTTCTGCCTGCGGGACCGAGTGTTGTCGTTTTCTGTTACCAACTCCAGCACAGCGCTGAGAACGGCACCTGGAGTGCCTCTACAAGTGAGCAGTTACTTCAGGTTTAAATCAGCTGTTTTTCCCCTAACATTCGTTGTTGACTGTGCCAGCATAAGCTCTGAAGAGGTGTAGAAGTCAGGTGCCAGTTGGTGATGTGTCAAATGATGCCATTTCATGGACAGATGTTGGTTCCAGAGACAATGCCTGGTGCAGGCTTTTCAACTTCTTCTGTAGTCCAGTCATTTGAACAGGTTCCAAAACCTGAGTCATGACACTTTGTGACCCTTTGGGAGATTCTGCAAAGGAAATGGCTGGTAGGAGACAGTTGCATTTTTTGTCATGATATTGTTCAGAGAAATAGGAGGCCAAGACTGAGGAATTTGTTTGGAATAGTAGCTTGTGAGCCAAAAACTTAATTGGTTGGAGCAAGGAGCATCAGAAGTCATCTCCTGAGGATAGCAAGGGCATGTGAAAGAGAAAGCATCAGGGACCAGAGTGTATTTCAAAGCATTCTTTGTAACAACTGTTTTCAAGAGTGCCAAATAACCTGTGGTACTGCTTTGGCTAAATAAGATTTAGATTGATTCAGGACTGCAGAAAGGAGCATATGTTTGTAGGATCCACAGCCTCGAATTCACTCCTGAACCTAAGTGCCAATCTCTTTCATCTGAAGGAGCGGGACTTGCTTTTTTTGTTTAGTGTAAGGGTAGTGAGGATGCCTCCTTTTTAATGCAGTAACTTGAGAGTAAAAGGCTTCGTCTGGAAAGTGGAAGAGTGATGTTCAGTTCTCTCTATGGCATAAGGGTCGGTTTTAACATCACTTTTATAGTCTTCCAAATAAAAGGAGTGAGCATCAGCCTGTTGATCCCCTCCAGTATTCTTTCTGGATTTTACAACCTACTGGAAGAATACCAGTGCAATCCTGAGAGCAGGACTTAGGGTTCCCTATTCACTAGCAAATTCTGTTCCTTTTCTTTCCTTGGATGTCTTGCTTTGTTTGGTGCGCAGTGATACAGCACCTGTAGACTACTACATTCTCTTTTGAAGACGATGTGCGTTGGAACTGTCTTAGGTCAAGGACAGAACTGAACCTGTTCTTCCATTTGCTGCATTATTGGACATTAATTCATCATCCAACCATGTAGCAAGTTGTTCTGGTATGTTTGGACTAAGGAACTTCCTTCTTTTCATCAAATTTTGCATTGAAAACACTACACATTTTATTACTTAATATGTTTCTCTTGACCAGGTGTGTGACGTAAGGCATGAAGAAAAGCCGCAGAGGTTTATGTGTTTACAGTATTTTAAAGTCAAATAGGAAGCAGAGTTTGCATGTCTTAGTTTCTAAGTGAAACTGAAAAAAAGCTTTCTGGATTAAAATTTTGGGTTTAGTCACCTTAATTCTAAATTACTAATCATCTCTGTGTTCACTCTTAAGTTTCCCCAGGGCAGGGAAGAACTGAATGGGAAAACTGAAGGGCAGGATCTTGAGGACTGGAAGGCACAAACATTTGGGAGGTGGAGGGTACAATGGAGCAGAAAGTAAAACTAAGGAGAATAAGAATAGACACCACAGTGGAGATGTGAATAGGAATAGATCTGGAGGCGAGTAAAAATGCGTCCGTGGGACACTTCCATTCTAAAAACTGAAAGGGAAACTGGGAAAATTTCTGGGTTCCAGAAAGGCAGACTGTGTTAGGTTCCTGAATGAGGAGAGCAATTAATGAAGAGGCAGAATGTTTGTTTGCTGAATAGCACAAAGTCAAGTGAGAATAAGTTAATGTGATCTTTTATTTGGAGAGTACATTACAAGGAATAAACTAAAGGAAGTGAAGTTAAAGCTCCACTGGAAACTCTATAATTTCGGTGCTTGGTTTTACAGCTCTGGCTGTGTTTCAATGTACTTCTGATGTGCTGTCAAGTAAAATATTAATTCCATGTTTTCTAGTCTATCTTCACCAGTCCTAAAAACATGTGTATTATCAGATATCAGACAACAAACCCCTGTTCCTTGTCTCCACAAAATTAAAGGCCAGATTGGACATAATTTTGCCACAGGAAATGTGGGTTATTATGCTACTTTGGAGACAGCTCCAAAAAGGCATTTATACACCTAGGCATTATTTTAGTTGGAATTGTGTGTTTTTCTCAAACTTTTGTACACTGGATGGGGTTGATGGTGGATTCATAAATTTTTACTCCTAGTTCCTGTCTGCCTTTTTTTTTCCTCATTTTGGTCATTGTGATTTGAATACACTCTTTAGTTCCCTGGTATATGGAAAGACATGGAAAGCCCTGATATGTGCTGCACAGGCGAGCTGGGAAAGTTTTATACTTGTGTATTGTTCAGTGCTGACATAATACAGTTTTCCTAAGCTTACTAAATATAAAACTTTCACTCCAAATAACTAGGATTTGATTGTTCAGCAAGTCAGAAAAGGAGCTGTGCTTCTAAACATGTTCCAGAAAATAAGAGGTGGAAAAAGATGTAGGAAAATCCTTGATCATAGCACAGTTTTAAGT